GGGGATTTTTTTTAAGGGGGCTCAACTATAGTGACTCAACAAGCCATTTATATCATCTAAATTTTTTAGGGGGGGGGGGCAAAATTTTCTAAGGGGGGGCTGCCCCATCCCCTGTCCCCCCCTCCCCCTTCTAGCTATGGGCCTGTATCAGGGTCCGTCTTCATTAGACCAATTTAGTTTCAATTTTTTTCTAAAGGGTAGCCTGTCTTGCATTGTTACAATCGTGGAAGTGAAGATTCATAAGGTTTTTGAACTGCTGATATAGGTTCTTATATTTTATATTTTCAGAGGAAACGAGAAAGTTTAAAGTCAGCTGCATCAAAATCAAGTTTAGACACTGTTGATGAATCTCCAACGAGAAAAGTGTCTCAAGGTGACATCGATATCAACCAATCCCATTTAAAATCAGGCAATCCTAAAGAAGTTCTCAGGAACAAGTTGTTCAAATACTTGGAGGAGGGCAAGGACGAGGAAATTAAGAAATGTTTAGAAAACAATGTACCTGTGAACATTGGAGACTTGAAATCTGACGCTTACCGGAGACCCAACACAAGAGAAAATGTACTTCATGTGGCCCTTACCCATAAAAGAAACGAATTAGCTCGATATATTATTGAAAGACTTTCGGATACTGGTTTAGATTTACTTGTGCAAAATTTCGATGTAAACTTGGCAACTGCTCATGGTGTTAAGAATGTTACTCATCAAGCCACGGAGCTGCATGATCTGTCCTTAGTCAAATTAATCGTCAGCAAGATTAGGAATAAGGACAGACTCTTGAAATCGCTGAATGAAGAAAGTCCTGTGCAAATTGAAGGGCAAAGACCTCGAACATTCCCATGTTTACATCTAGCTGCCTTTCATGGATTTACTGATTTAGTGGATTATTTCTTGGATTGTGGTGTTGCCGTCAATCATCTTAATGCTAAGAAAGATACAGCTCTGTTGTGGGCAGCGAGATGGGGTCGCGTAGACACTGTAAAGAGTTTGTTGAAACGAGGAGCAGATCCAGGTATTGAAAATGATAAAGGCTCAACAGCTCTCTATTGGGCAGTTCGTTATGGTCATACAGAAACTGTTCAGATTCTTTTAACACAAGGCAAAGCAAATCCTCATCAAACCAGAAAGCTTGGTCTGGTGGCCCCAATTGTCTTGGCCTCAGCTTTAGGGTACAATGATATTGTTAAGATTCTCTTGGACAATGGAGCTCATGTGAATCACCTGATTCGGGGAAAGGAGATGCCAGTACATCATGCAGCAAGAGAAGGTCACGTAGACGTCTTGAAGACGCTGATCAACAAAGGGGCAGATTTTGACAAAACTGACGAAAGAGGCGACACTGCACTTCTTCTGGGGGCGAAGTTTGGACATCCCAAAGTAGTGCAGACTCTAATTCAAAGTGGTGCCAATATGAAGCAAAAGAATCTCCTAGGTGAAGATATTTGGGTTCATGCTGTTAATAACTCACAAGAATTCTCTGCCACATTAATACAGACTTTATTGGACATTGGCTTGTTAGCACCTGAGCCAAGCAATAAAGACTTGATCAGGGTTAAATGCTCAAAGTCTCCTCTCTTCCATGCTGCTATGGCAGGAGCGTGTGATAAGATCGAACACTTTCTATCTCTCAAGCTTGATCCAGCTGAACCCGACGAAGAAGGAAATACGTTCCTTATGGTTGCTGCATTGCATGACCAACAGGAAGTAATTCGAAAGTTTTATAAACTTGCCAACATCGATGCACAGAATCTCAAGGGAAATACAGCTCTTCACATCGCATGTCTTCAAGGCTACCATGACACAATAACAGTTTTGATTGACAAAAAGGCAAAAGCAAACATTAAGAATAAAAATGGCGAGACTGCTCTTCATGTCGCAGCATATTCCAAATCAATCCGACCTCACACGGTTAAAAAGTTGATCAATCATGTCATTAAGACCAATGCTTGGGAAAGTCTCAATGTCCCTGACGGGGAGGGAAAGAATCCCCTTCACATTGCTGCCAAATACGCACCACCTGAAATCCTATGGGAATTTCGATTTGTTCGATACAAAGATCTGGACAATGAAGGGAACAATGCTATTCATGCTGCTGTCAGACCAAAGCATGAAGAGGCTTTCCTGGTAATGATGGATATTTATGATACAATGAAACGAGACGCCGATATCAACCAGCAGAATAAACAAGAGGAATCTGTTCTTCATTTGGCTGCAATGCAATGCTTCGGTGATGGAGTCAAAAAGCTGATTCTTTACGGTGCAGACTTATCATTACAAGATGCAAATGGTGATACAGTTCTGCATCGATTAACTCGAGCATCTGTTGAAGATCGCGATCATGCCGAGGCTTATCTTGAAATATTTGATATTGTGATGGATGAAGCAGTGAAATGGTGGTGCATCAAACGTTACATGGATTTTCCCGATGATAAGGAAGAAATCAAACTAATCAAAAGAAAATCGATCCTTGAGCTAACAAAACATATCTACAACAAAAGCGACCTAAGCGTTCTTTCCTTAGCATGTACTCTTGGAGCTCCTGAGGTTATCCAGAAACTCACTCAGATGAAGGACGTTTTATATTTCGAAATTCAAAAAGGAAACGGAAAGTCTTTAACCAAACGATACGACGTGACGCACTTAACTCCACTGACTAATAATTCAGTGACAGGACTCTGTAGAAATACTCGTGTTGTACCGCGACCATCTTGTATTGAATGGCTTCTTTCAGCAGATAAACTTGAAAATGCCTCCTATATTCTAGATCTACCTCCTATGGCATACATCGAAAAATCTTATTCGTCGATTGCAGCTTGGACTTATGTCCTTATAATGGCTCTTCATCTTATACATATGATAATCTTCAGTTACTGTGGAGTGCATATACAGGATTACCGCCGGACTAACAGCACCAATAACGATATTAATGTATCCAAAACTATGTTATATTTTACTGCCGTCGAACCTTCGTTTATCATTATATACTTTGCATATGAAATGGTTAAAAATTGGTGTTTGGGAGAACAAACTGTGAAACTCAAACTCAAAAGAGGCAGAACCAATACACTAGAATCGATTATAAATCCTTTGGGAACAATCTTCAGTGTAGCTTATGCTGTACTGGTTCTGGTATGGATGATCCTTTACAGTATCGGCAACGTTTATCAAACCTATTTTCTTTCTGTGTCTTTGGGAATAGGCTGGATTATCACCATTGTCTTCACCAAAGGATTCAAACCGGTTCATTATTTCTGGAAAATGATTCAAAACATGATGATCAGGGACATTTCAAAGTTTCTTTTCGTGTACTTGTTTGTGTTGATTGGATTTTCTTTCGCGTTCCATGTGATGTTTCAAGTTTCATCTGGTGTTGTCGAGGATTTTAAGAACCCTTTGTATACCATGTTTCTCATGTTTAACCTCATGTTTGGTATGGATGAAATCTTTACGGATGGCTTCGAAACTAACATGGCCCAAGCTGGCTACACAACAATATTCCCAAAGGTGATATACATCATGTATATGATCTTGGCCACGATTGTCTTGCTAAATCTTCTTATTGCTATGATGAACGACTCTTATTCGGCTACTTTGAGGAGGCAACAAATGCTTTGGAGGATCGAATCAGTTCAGTTGGGTGTCAACATCGAAAAGATGTTACCGTTCACTAACTGGTTGTTCAGTAGAATCAAGCTACATCATGGATTAGTGGTACCAAGTGAGGACAAAACAGAAGAACTAGTATGGTATATTGAAGTGTCGTCCTCCAGTATGGAGAAGATAGAGACCACGACTTTTGTTGATAAGGAAACGGAGCTTATTAACCATCTCAACATCCGACTTACTGCGTTGGATAACAAAATATCTGACCAGATGAAAACATTCCAAAATACTCTTCAGGAAATGCAAAGCATTTTACAAAAACAGAATGATCGTTCGCCGGAGTGATCATACAACCACTTTTAAGTGGACAGTCACATACCTTAGGACTAACTGGTGCTGGTTGATTGGGAGAACAATATGACCACTGTTGATGCCAATCGGAATCATCACTTGTTAAGCTTTAAGTAGCAATCGTGTGCCTTTGTGCCAATATTTTCAAAGCTTCATGGGAAGCTTTGGTTCATCATTGCCATCAAAGAGTTCAGAAGTGGCAGAGGAAAAGGTTAATACGTGTCTGAAATAAGGGTGTCTGATTTAAGCCTAGACCATGTGCACGTAGCGCATTGAGTAATACCAATCTTTAACAAGGATTATCCATAGAGTTTTTTATAGTGTCTAAACATAATTCTGTTGGATTATCGGAGTTGCTAGGATAAACTGAGATTAGGCTAAATGGCCAATTCATGTCAACTTTGTTTCATTCCATATTCTCAGGGTTTTATATCTGATTTCTTAGCACTACAATTCAGTTTACTGAATTGCTGTATGCTCTTTAATGTTTACAAGGTTTAGATAGATAATCTCTCAAATACCCAAGTTACCAGACAATGATATTGCCATGGCAACTTAAATGAATATGAAAATATTGCCATGTCAATTGTTGTTGATTTTGTTAAGTCTCTAACTAACTGTGATACACCATCATGTATATAAGTGTTTTTTAAAGGTTATAAATGGAATATCTATTAAAATATGAATCTAAATTAATATTTAATAATATTACATAAATATATTTTTTATAATTATCTATGTATAATTCTGGTGTTATAAATGAGATTCTATATTAACTGCTGATATACATATTTCTACTGGTATTTATATGCATTCAAGTTCCTGTGTATATTTTATGTAACGTAAATGTGTCTATGACATAGACTCTATGTATCTGTATTGTGTATCACAAAATAACAACTGCTGATACAAATCTTTATAACACTGATATTTTTAAGTTAGACCCATGTGTCTTTTTGTATCTGTATTATTAATATTATATATAAAACAAAATAACTGCTGATATAAAACTTTTAAACACTGATATTTTTATTAGTATATCTTTCAATGTGTCTTTATGTATCTGTATTATTAATATTAGAAACACAAAAAAACTGCTGATATAAATCTTTTTAACACTGATATTTTTAAGGTAAACAAATGTGTCTGTATGTGCATGTATCTGTATTATTAATATTGGAAACACAAAATAACTGCTGATATAAAACTTTTTAACACTGATATTTTTATTAATATCTCTTTCAATGTGTCTTTATGTATCTGTATTGGAATGTTATAAATGTGATACAAGATTATGTACCACACAATAATGACTGCTGATATAAAACTAACATTTTTAAACAGACCCATGTGTCAATGTATTTATGTATCTGTGTTATTAATATTGGAAATGTCATACAAGATTATGTATCCCAACTGCTGATATGTTACCTTTAAATACTTTTAAAAGAATGTGTCTCCTTTGTATATGCTATTTACATTTAAGTATAACATTACAGCCATTCATTTTACAAGCATGTATACATATCTTGCTATTTGGATAGTTAAAAAAAATAGTTGATGATACTGAAGTGATATTTAGTTTACCTGCTGCAATATAAGAAACAAAGTTTTTTTTTTATATATTTATTAATAAATTAACTTGAAATATTGCATAATAAATTTACTGAATAACAGTATTTTTGATGTTAAAATAGTGCTCAATACATCAATTGATTGGGGTGTGGATTGGACATGATTAAATAGGTGGGTGGTATTATATACACTTCCCGAAACTCATGTGTTAATACAGCTTATGTTTTAACATTTATAAATAAATACTTGGTGTTAGTTTGGGTTGCATTAAATTTAATCTTTAATTGGTAAGTATGAAGGTACACGCATGTGGGTTGGCGGCAGCCCTGTCGCTATGGTGGGGTCTGTAGGGGATGGTCCCGTGCAAGTGAGAATTAAGCCCCAGCAAAACCTTCTTTAGTTTAGCAGAGATTGATTCATTTACAGTGTCTTTGTACAAAATCAAAAAGATATGTTTTTGGCAGCTCAAAATTGTCAGAAATGAGTTATCTGGGCCTTTAATTCTTCAAAATTCAACAGTACAAAATCTGAGCCCTAGGACCATATCATTTCTGGCGACGGGGCTGGTTGGTTGGTTGGGACAACTTGGCAAGCTGGATTAATATCATTCCAGAAGCAACTCAATGAGATGTACACGTGCAAATAAGGAAATAAGGCTTGCTCCCGGCACAGCTTGATGATAAAACTTCCAGGAGCACACATTTTGGATTTAAAATTTATTTCCTTTCACACACTTACACTACATATCAAACAAATTTCTATACAATTTTTCACACATTAACAATTCTCTAAGATGGGTTCCAGGTATTAAGTTTGGCGTGAATTTAGGCATTTTGAAAACACTTGCCTGTCAATCTTGCCTGTAAGTTATGTTCATGTCAAGCCTTTTATATATTTGATAAGCTTGCATCTAAAAGTTCACATGAACTAAGGAATTACTATATTTGCATAACAGCATGGTATTTGAAAATATTCACATAACAGCAGGGTTTTGAAAAATATTCACATATTAGCATAGTTTTTCAAGATGTTCACATAACAGCATGGTATTTGAAAATATTCACATAATATCAATTAGTTGCCTATGAAAATTTTTTTCCCTCATCACTTTCTCTCCATATACGTTTATTTCTCCATTTTTCATAATCAATTTTCTTATATGACTGAAAAAAAAGAAGGTTACAAATTTCAATTACCCATCAGATTGTGATGTTTTAAAGTTTAATTGTTTTTGTCTTCCCAGTCAAAATAACAGAAATGGAATTCTTGATCCCTCTGATCTAGTGATATAGACTGGATTAATATATGACAATACCAGACCAGTGGTCTTATCTGTTGTCAAAATAGGACAGAATCCATCTACAATCCCCTCAAAAAATAAGTAATAATCCATTAAACTAAGTAATTTTGAAACAGGCTTAGATGCATGCTTCAATAATTACATAGTTTAATGGATATATCATCTTATATAGAGATTCTATTCTTTAGTCATGGCATCTTGTAAGTCCAACTGATGAATATATACACTTGTTAAACAAGTTTGAGACTTGGTCACTTACCTCCACCAATTCTTTTTCATGTTTGTTTCTTTCCTGATATTCTTCCTCACTTATTGGAACCTTAAACATTGAAAGTTTCAGGCAAATACAATTTCATGGCACCTTAATATTACACACCAAAAAAGTACCGCATGTCTGATGATTTTAAATGAGTCATCTTTACTCATTATTCCAACAGACCCAACAGCTTTGTAGAATTTAATTTAATCTTATAACTGACTTTGGCATATTCATCCAACCACAGACATAAGCTCCTACCCTATTACTAATTAGTTTAGCAGAACAATTTCCATTTTTGAGATGAGGTACAACTAATGCACCAAAATGGCGAATCTGACCCTTTTGGTTTGTTTTGGTGTCTTGTTTCCTTGTCTACTGCCAGGTTAAGGGCTATAGGTTTAACTATGCCATCAATTGATATGTACAAGATACCAATATTAATTTTTTTTTACCTGAACTGTTTCCACAGTCGTTTTAAACTCATATCTAATACTACATATCTCTTTCAAACCGAATGATCCTATGACCACAAACAACTGAAAATATGATCAAAAGTGTAGTCACTTCTTCGTTTACAAGTCAAATTTGTAGGGACAGAGATGACAACAATATAATGTACACTTAAGTCTTGATAGTTGCACATTCATCTGAAAACATCCGTTATAGTTAAGTATTAGGGAGATGTTGCTTTAGTGGGGCGATATTGCATGGTTACGTTTTCGTCTGAGGTCGATCAGACCAATATTTCTTTTATTGTCATTTACTGATCGGAACGTCTGAATATAATGGGTATGCTTACAATGAATGGCAGTCCTTCTCTGAAGAATTTAGATTTTGTTTGTTTTTGCAACTGTTCTTTCCACTGAGCCCACCTTCGAGAAAATAACTTGTTCACATTCATTTTGTTTACATGGAAGCCGCCATTAAAGCTGCAACTTCGTACCCAGCAATGCGAATATGATATAGCCTAGTCCGTATCCAATTGTTCCTTCAGTTTTATACATTTCTATGGTTTTATTAAAGTCATCCTAGGTGACTGACCCAGGATCGCTACCATACAGTAGGCCTACATAATTATGGTTGTAGCAGTGTCTTGATATATAGGCATTTATGAGAGGCAACATCCAAATGGCATATTCAAAAAAAAAAAAAATTTATAGTAATAAATTTATTGAAGCAACACACTATTTTTCTACACAACTTAAATTAATACAATAACCCAGAGAGTATCCCAGAGACTAGCTCTTGTCCATGGCAGGAGGTCACTCTGGAAAATTAAATTTTTAGACAACACTTCAGTCAGTTATTTCCCTTTTAAATTGGCAATTCAAACAGGATAACCCAAAACATCCAACAAAAAACTTTTAACTTCTTCTACTATTTATCATTTTTTTCACTTTAGCTGAAGAATATTTTAACGATTTAATAATACCAGCTGTTAAAATACCTTTAGTACTTTGTTTGAAACTAGACGATTTCACTATATCAGAAATGGCTTTCCTAACATGATCACAGCAATAGCTATCATGGGCATAGGCTCTCAAAATCTCTTCATAATCCTCATAACGTCCCTGTTGATACTTATATTCAATGAGAATTTGGTGAACACCACCGGGTAACAGATTTAAGTGATGCCATTGTGACTGGATATTAGGATATTGTTCAAATTTACCAGCAGATTTGAACCAATGTATATGCTCTTCGTTATCCAGTATAGGTTCATACAGTTTGCGAAAATGTTCTAAATTTGGCGCAACAATTTTCCTAATTTTCTGTTGGTCTTCCCCAATAGACATTCGTATGTCCCCACTATATGAAAGACCAGTAATAGTCTCATAGAGTTCAACCTCAGTGAAAGTTTCTGGTAAAAGCAATAAGGCACTATGAATAGCACTATTCAAATTCATATTTATAGCGTTTTTGAGGTCAGAGTTAATAGGCGATTTAATGAAATTGACTGGTTTATGAAGACGCCCACTGACATACAACGTCTCCCAATCTAAGAGATCTGTTATGACTTTATCGGTGCTAATAATTCCATATTTGATAAGTCTATTTTCAAATGGTATCAAAGTATTGAAATATACTCCCGCACCAAATTTCTCTTGGATGTTGGCAATTTTTTTAGCGCCAAATAACTTCAGGAAGGAATAATGGCTCCTATTCATTTCTAGATTTTCTTGATGCCACACTAAGGGATCTTCCACTACAAAAACAAAATCCAACATATTTTTATCTTTTGATGGATGTCCTTCTTGTTGGAACACTGCAGATCCATAAGAAAATGCCATTTCGATCCCTTTTGGGAAAGAAGGTAAAATACGTTTGTAGATTGCAGTGTTTGATTGTATTTCAACTAGAGAAGAACAAAATCTGACAAAATGCGACATATTGGAAATTCAATTAAAATTACCAGTTAACTAAAAAATGCACGGTTTTTGAATTAATTTTCAGCAATATTATGTTAGTTCAAAGTGTCTCTATTTTACATTATCATTTTCGTCTCTTTCAAACACACCCATTCCCGAAACAGAAGAACTTTTAATCATTTCAAGTTTCCTTTGACCTTGTCGAAACACATATTCTATTTTCATAATATCGTTTTTAGGGATTTTTGCATTTTTACGAAATTCGCTTCTGATGTGACTTTCAAATCCAGGCTTTCCTTTTGTTTCTCTTAAAAACTCTCTGTACAAGGATAGAACTTGAAGCTGCAGTTTACTATATCGAGGCATTCTCAATTTTTAATACAACAGCAACCCTCCAATTGTTCATTTTCACACCTGAAAAATGCAAAAATTGAATAGGCATGAGAAAAATGAAGGTTGTCTATAATTCTCAAGTTAATTAAATCTTGTGAGAACAAAAATTAAATCTAACAAAGAATCTAGCAGTTGAAGATTAGATGAATCAATAAGTTTTGTTTCCATTGTAGTCCGAAATCAATTATAATCAACATGAGTTGCCCCCCTTGAATGGAAAATTTGTGGAATATTCTTTCACGTTTAAGAAGACAAACATTAATATACTTGGTCGTTTTCAAAAAAGACAATTCTGTTGACTGAGAAAATGTCTACCTTGAAGTTATTTGTCGCTGTGCATGCAGGTTTGTTCAGTATTTTCTATTTTTCACCTGCTTTACAATAATTTTCAATTTTTACTTCTCCTGTTTTATGTGAGCTTCCTAAAATTTGGTAATTGTGTATATTTATGATATAGACATCTGAAACGAAATAATATCAAAATCAAAACATTTTATAATGTTTTTTTCAGTTTTTCTTCTTAAAATGATTAATGTATTATGATTAAAAATATTTGAAACAAAAAAATAATTACATTTATGTATTTTTATATTATAGGTGCTGGATATCATTCCCTTAGAAAAGAAAAAGAATATAAAGATGTTTGTAGAATAGCATGTTTACAAGTAAGAAAACCAAATATCAATTAATCAAATATTATAAACTTTGGAGCATGATTATTGATTAAAATTTGGAGACTTGTTTTTGGCTCGAACATAATATGCAACATGCAAAACCATTCTAACCCTTTCCAAATATGCACTAATTGCAGTTTTGCACCCAAGGAACATCTATATTTTATTTAAATTTGTCTAGGATAGGTTAAAAATTCTGAGCATGATTAGGCCTAAATTGATCTCACTGTTTGATTATTTTATATTTTGGTTCTATTTTCAGGCAATGGAACTTCTGAAAAGAAATTTCTCTGCAGTTGATGCTGTTACTGAGGCCACTGTTTCTTTGGAGGTAGGACTTCATAATCATTGAGGCTCTAATGTAACTTATCTATTTTTTTACCTTAATTGTAGACAATCTATTTGTATGATTTTCATTCTGGAGAGTGGTATAAATAATAATTTGAGTTAGCATTTCTATGGATCCTTATGTAAGAGGGTCGAGTAAGGGTCAAACTATCGTCCAGGATGCTCAAAAGCAATTCTTTACCAATGTTACCAGGCGAGCCTTAACCCTTTCAATTCTAGCAGGCAGTTTACCGGCCACATGATTAGGCACTATATATCCAAGCAGTCGTTACAAAGTAACCTAACACTCTGTTAACCTCATTCATTTTAAGTTATATAAGCTTAAGCTTATTACTTGGAGTTCTGGCCATGTATTCTCAAAACTATCTTAGCGCTAGGATGTCCTAGCACCAAGATCTTTTCAAGAATATGTGACCGGGGTATTTGAGGGTTTTTTTTTCATTTACACTCAATGTTCACATGGTTAAGTCTAGGGAAATACCACTGTTTATAGCTGGTAAAGCAAATATTTTGACAGTTATATTTTTTGATATTTTTATTCAACAGAATGCTATGTGTACTAATGCTGGAACAGGTTCAAGTTTAACTCTAGATGGTACGGTCGAATGTGATGCAGGTATAATGGATGGACAGTCTAATTTATTTGGTGCTGTGGGGGCTGTGGAAGGTAGGCCATCTTTCAATTCAGAAATTCCTGTACCAGTCAAATGAAATGAAATGAATAGAGTTTTACGTCTTACTTTTCTACACCATGTGGGCTCAAGAAGATGGCAGTGTATTTTGAGGGAAATTTTTCCAACTGTTGAGGGATCTTTAACGTGCACAGTCTGTAGCACACGGGGCCTCGGTTTATTGTCGCATCCGAACGACTAGACTCTTTATCTATATCACCCCTCTTACCTACATCACTAAGGTTAGCGAGCAAGCAAGCAACCATGGCTCCCTTCAAGGAATTCAAGGGACAAAAGAAATGATCTTGTTACATCTTGGTTTGGAAATGAGGTGTGATCTTTCAGATTTGGAAATTGAGATGTATGCCTCTTAGCAAAGCGAGAAAAGTCAACTATCAATTTTTTTTTTTGTATATATGCCTGAAGTTGTGTGTCATTTTGTAGCCCTACTCGAAATTTGAATATCAAGTTTCACTTACAATTTTTAACTGAATACAAAAAATTTGATTTTGTTAATTTTCTTTAGGTGTTCAAAATCCCATCAGAGCAGCCCAGAAACTGGTAAATCTTCAACAGGAAGGTGTCATGTCACTGGGAAGAATTCCCCCAAGGTGAGTTCTTTCCCCTTTGTTCTAAATTGCTATCCTGGTGAGCAAATGGCATCATGACATACAACGTACAACTGGTTGGTGCTTCCTTGAGGTTATTTTGAAATTATTATTTTCAAAAAGCTAAAATGAAGTATTCTTATTTAGTATTTTAGTTGGTCTAGGTGCCAGAAAATGGTGTAATGACAATGGTGTTGAAGTATGTGATCCAGCTTTATTAGTGACAGGTTTGTTTAATGCCAACTATTTTAGGCTTTCCTCTTTTTATAATAACACAAAAAAATTGCCATATATTTTTACATTCATATATCCTTTTTAGAAATAATTACTGTTTGATTAGGGTTCCTCAAACTTGCATTTGACAGAGTTTCTGGATTATATTAAGGAAATAAAGATAAACAAATCCTTGCAGTGTGCAATGAGAGCATCTGTTTATTGATATCTGACTGACTATAAGCTCTTTATAATTTTGAAACACCCGATGGTACTCTTTGTTTGAGAAGTTCACTGCCATATATTTATTGCCTATGATTTTGTCTTGCTTTGAATGAAATATTTGAATTTAATTTTATTATGTTACCATTTATTATTTTGAAATACCCAATTATAACAAAAATTTTAACAAATTATTTTTAGATACCTCCAAAAGAATGCATTTAAAGTATTCAAGAAAAATGGAATCACAGATAAAGAAGGCAGAAATCATCAAGAAAATTAAGGTACTCTTTCATAGATGTGCTATTTCTAATCATGTTGGATGTAAAAGAGACTTTGGAATTGGAACGGAAATTGTCAGGATCGACTCAGAAGCGGCAGGTCAACTGTGGCTTTCTACAATTCAATTCAGCAATCCAGCCTTTGAGATAAATTTCCTCTTTCAGAAGGTATAAATTTGGAGTCTTAAGCTTTTCTAACTTGTCCAAAAAAAAACCTGACCTTTTAATTTCCATTTCTATTTTAGGTTGAGATAGATGATATTAATGCTACTGAGAAAAAAGAAGAAGAAAACCACAAACCAATCAATGATACAGAACTATTAAAAGAAATAAAGGATACAGTAAAGGACAAGGAAGTCATCAAAGGGATACAGAATACAGTAGGCTCTGTAAAGGACCAGGAAGTCACCAAAGGGATACAGGAGACAGTAGGCTCTGTAAAGGACCAGGAAGTCATCAAAGGGATACAGGATACAGTAGGTTCTGTAAAGGACCAGGAAGTCATCAAAGGGATACAGGATACAGTGGGAGCTATCTGTGTTGACTATCAGGGAAATGTAGCAGCTTCATCTTCAAGTGGAGGACTTTGGTTAAAACACTCTGGAAGAATTGGTCCTGTATGTTATTTTGGTATTTTTTTCCTTAAATCGACATACAGCATGAATATTGTCTTTACCAATTTACAGTGCTGAATTCTAGCTATCTGTATCACTTTTAGAATTGAAACCAGAGTCTGGTTTTTACAATTCATAAACATTTATTGGGTGGGTTAGACTACCAGGGTATTATGAACTATCTTGACTTCAGTAATTAGAGATGACGGCATTACATTAATAAAAGCTGCATATTGGAAACCAGACATATGATATGATTTTGAGTCTGCAAACTGATACGAATAAATTCTCAAAGAACATCATTATTACCGGTAATACTGATCAAAGTGAAACAAAATGCCTTGTAATATTCAAAAGTTTTTGGTTAGTTTCTATCTTTTTACTTATTCAGATGCAAAATTTCCTATTAAATTTGTTTAAGCTTTTGCAATTGATTATTATTGATTATTATTGAGAGACAGAAATCCAATATTTTGCAGGCAGCAGTTTATGGTGCAGGGTGTTGGGCTAAAAATAGAAAAGGTGACAAACCGGGTGTAGCCGTCTCTACCTCAGGTAATGGTATCAATCTTTTTTTGGATCATTCATTCAGATGAGGTTCGGTTTGTCAATCTGACAGATTGGCCATTAGTAAACAAATAAACCAAATTATCTAAATCAATAATTGCTGTGGACGTAGTTGGCTTGGAAACAACTGTTGGAATATCAGTATAATATATACCAGTCATGATTAGACTTAAAACAATGTCTACCTGCAAAACATTTTAGACTTTGGTGACAATAACGAAACTTTTGCAAAATGGATGCAAAATCTTTTGAAACAAAGACCAAACTGAGAAGTCTTTTTTTTTATTATGTATTTTTAATATTTGTTTTTCATTTTTGCAAATTTTAGTTATAGGCCTAAGTTGTAAATTTGATAGTGTTTTTACTTGCAGGCACTGGAGAAGATATAATGAAATGTTTATTAGGTAAAACATGTGGTGATTCTATACAAACAACAGATAATATACATGAAGCTATAAATACAGTCTTTAAACAGGAATTTATAGGTATGATACCTGAAACTTGTACAAATATAAACACTAATACGAGATTTACCTGCTCAAGGAAACACAGTAGAAATATGTAAAAGTTTTGTATGTGTGGAAAGGATGCTGATTCTAACCTTCTCTGTGAAAATTAAAAAGTTAAAAATGTGTAACTAAAATGAATTTTTTTTTCTACAGGCAACAGTTGTGAAAATGGTAAAAATGGTGGGGTTATTGCTTTAAAAGCAGAAGATATGGATATTGGTAAATCTAATTATTTTTTTTATATTTTGATGTACTAAAAGTTATATTTCTGTTTATTTTATGATTATTATACTATCATGTATCAATAGGTATGCACAATACACCTGATTTAGCTATATATGAGGTTCTATAGCACAGACGGTTACAGCGTTTCTTTACATGACCTCATTTGCTTGATAACGTTGAACAAAATATGGTGGTCGTGGGTTCCCATCTGGATTGGCGTGGTGAGTCTAATGACCTTGAATAAACCATCTTCACTCATAATTCCAGTTGACCCAGCTGTAAATGGGTACGGATAATCCAGGAAAGATCAATGCCAAAAGTTTTGGCCAAGTACCAACTGGTAGAAATGATCCTTAACTGTGAACCTATGTTGTTATCCTTGTAAAATATAGTTGTTGTTTCTTTCAAAACTTTTTATAGATTGATATACAAATATGACACTCTTCTTTCTTAAATATCCTCCCAAATATTATTTCTTTTTGATCTGCACATCATTTGGGTAATAGAATGTTTTAATTTTTACAGTTGAATTAATCTGGGCTCATACTACTAATAGTATGTGTATTGGTTATTATTCTACAATAGATCCCACTCCTAAGGTTAGAAAAAAATACTAGTTGTAGCATTATTTATTTTACTATCAAATATACACAATCAAAATTGTGTTCAAATATGATATTGACATTTTTCCAGACAATCCAGAAAACATATCCGTATAGAAATCAGATAGACATTATTAGCTATGTGGATTTTGAAAAAGTTTACAAACCCAGTTGGAGTACTCGCAGAGTAACATTAGGTGTTGCAGAGGGATCAGTGTGCATTCTCATGCTTAAAGGGATTGTAAAGAAGTTTTCTAAATTTTGTATGTGTAACAGGGACACTGATAGCATCAATTTGCACCTATTTTCAATTAGATTTCAATTCTCAAGTCCACTACAACTAAGCGTTTTTATGCTTATTTGACAAGGCATATTTTGTGATGAGTGACATCATCAAACACAGACCACAGACAACTGCAAATTGGAATGGTGCAAATTTACATAACTTTCTTCACTTTAACCTTTAATCAACTATTGATTTCATCTACTGAGCTAGATATATTTGCCAAACATGGTTGGCTTCAGTAAAAGACTGCATGTTCGTGATTTATTTATTGTACACAAAAGAATATTTTTGCCATTAGAGAAACTCCTAAAGCAGGAATCACCATTAGCATCATTCTCAGTAAATTTCTTTTCTATTTTTAGACATTTATCTCCAGATTACCAAAAGGCAGCCAATCAGGTCACTCTCTATCTATAGAGGGAAAAAACTTTGATTTTAACAATAAATAAAATACAATCTCTACGAAAGCTTATTGTGTTTCTTTTGACTTGAGGTTCGATTCATTTATGTTATCAATCCCAAGAATCATGTATCTGGGTATTACTTAAAACAAAATGTGAAATTAATCATAGCTACACAGAAATTTACCACAGCAAATTGGATATTTTCAGATCAGGCAGTACAGGTATTTTCCAAAAATCTTTCGCAAATCTTTCTCATATGAGATACCAATTTGAAGTTTGAAACCTTTCAATTGACTAAAATATCACATTTTCGATATGCAATATCACGAAAACACCTGAGCCCTTCAATAGACCAATATTATGACTATCACATTCTAGGTACTCAACAAATACAAAAACTTATAACAGTTTCAAGCACAGAGCCTTTCAATAGACCAATATTATGACTATCACATTTTAGGTACTCAACAAATACAAAAACTTCTAACAGTTTCAAGCACAGAGCCTTTCAATACACCAATATTATGACTATCACATTCTAGGTACTCAACAAATACAAAAACTTCTAACAGTTTCAAGCACGGAGCCTTTCAATAGACCAATATTATGATTATCATATTTTTGGTACCCAACAACTACGAAAACACTTCATATTTTCAATCCTTCTTATTTGGGTCTTTTATCTGGTCCTGAAGTGCCTTTATTTGTTTAGAGATCTCGTCTAACTGTACTTGTTGTGGTTGGTCTTTATTAGCCTGTAACTTTCTTGTTATTTCGTCTAAATTGCCTAAATCTTTAAACGATACTTCTCCTGATCCTCTTGGTAGTGCTTTAGGCTGAATATTAAAAAAAGAAAAAGTTTTAAATTAATTTACATATACTGAAGTTGGAAAATTATATTATGCTTACACAAGTTCGTATATAAACCGTCAGATTTAAAACCTTGTAAAATATTATATTATGGTTCAATGTTCCTTTTTCTGTGGATGAAAACGAAAAACCTTGTATGCTGTACTATTATATGAGTTATTGGTTGAATAGGCCAGAGTATTGAAATTGTTATACGAGGTTTATATTTTCAAAGAATAGCGGTAAAAAAAATAATAAAAAATATTTTAACAAAATACGCTTACAAATAGTTTTTTGCATTTTTCTAAAAAAGTAATTTCGCGTCATATATCATTATATGAGGTTTCAAGCAGTCACCCACAATATGTCACAACAGATTTGACACCTATCGATCATACAGAAAGAAACTGACATACCTGAGAAGGGTCTGGTTTCCACCCAATAAAATATAAAATCTGATAAGTGGCTGGTACACCATGATCATTTCCATACATTTCTACAAAACAGATATAACATAGACAATATCACAACATTGTTTGTATTGAAACAATCTGATTTAATGACTGATACGAAAAGTTCATGTGTCTCAATAGTTCCTGTAGATTAAGGAAGGGTTAGTTCATGATTTAATATGAATATGGATAAACATAATGAACCTTTCTTTTTCTGAGATTACTGCTTAAAATTTTTACTATTTCAAAACTAGGTTATTTTGATCGTTGCTAAATGGCAGAGGGTTGTTTTGATTCCGAAATATTTTCTGATTAATATGCTTTCAAACGTGAAATTATATCCTTTAAAACAGTGGCAATGTTTCAGAAAAAATATTCAAAAGAATACCAAAAGATGATATCTAATAAGATGGCAGACCTACCTTTATATATAGCTCCAGCAGCTGATATTGTATCTCTATGTAACATTGGTTTACGTGACCATGAACAATTATTCTCACCCATACCTATATTCAAATAGTATGATTATCATACTCAAAATTTAATACACTGATTGTTAAGGGTTTGCTTTGGAAATGACATTTAAAGATGGGTTCCCTTATTTTTATTTATGAAAATGAAAACCCTAATACTTATATGAATAGAGAGTAGAGGTGTTCTAAAAAAAAAAAATACCAGTTTGTCTCCCATGTCCATAATTAGAAGAGAATTACCAGCAGAATTCCCATGAGTGACTGATCAAGAAAGGTCTTTTTTGTTCATCCAGACTGTACATACATGGACATTAATGATTGGTTAAAACTTTTAATTATATGCAATAAGAACATACAAGCTATAATTAAGAATATATGATAATTCATTAGAAACACAAATTAATCAAATAGTTTGCTTAATTTGACACTAAAAATTAAAGGAAACCCATCTTTAATCAGTAAGCTTATTTATCAGCACGAAAATAAATAAGAATGATGCAGAATCTCTCAAAGTTACTCAATCAAATAATCTGTTGTAAGCAAAATGCACAATATACAGAAATTTTTATGACAATGGAATAAGGATCTTAATTCTAGCAAGTGATTTCAAAATTTGTTAAACAGGCCTCAAGTTTTTAGTAGATTTAATCACTATACAAGGCAGGATCTAAAAGAAACAACTGTAAATAAACTTTACCTTTTAAGTCATACATCAATTCATAAATAGAAGGATAATTTATAACCATTTCATCAACATCCTACAAAAATAAACACAAACATGTATTTTAACATAAATTTACATTATCTCAAATGTCAGGAGAAGGTGATTTGAAAAGCTGAACTTGATCAAATGGAGCTTGAACATCTTGTAATGTTTAGATGACTGTATCCTTGTTGCTATGGAATGAACAATTGACTTACAATAGTTAACAGAGTAAAACCTGATCTGTTTAACAAATTACCAACATCTTGTGCTTCAGTAAATGGTGATATATGGGCAGCAAATCCCTGCAAAATATTGGAAACATTACAAAAAAAATATAACACAGCCAATCCCTGCAAAATATATCAGAATTATTACCCCCAAAAATTATAAAAACTTTTCTGGACCTGATTGAGCTAATGAATATGGATAACATCATGCAGTGTACAATGAGGAAAATTTTCACTGTTGGAGCATCTTAAGATCAATATAAAAATTCAAGTACTCACCCCTTCTCTCTCTTGTTCTGCTAATTGTAATGATACTCTCAGCTCATAAAGGGTTTCTCCACCAAACATAGAACCAATAAAGGCCCCATCTGGTTTTAAACATTGTTGAACCTGTCTAAAACATCCTGGTAAATCATTGACCCAATGTAAACTGAAATAAAAATATTGGACATTCATTGGTATTCTACTGGTAAATAATTATGGACATGTGAGACAAACTGGTATTTTTTCAAGTCATTAGAACACCTCTACTTTCTATTCATATAAGTATTAGCATTTTCATTTTCATAAATGAAAATAAGGGAACCCATCTTTAAGTTATGATTAAAGTTTGGTACAATCTCTTATTTCTGCAGTAATGACATTTACAATTCACACATTAGTTCAGTATAAGTGTATACAATAGATATTGTTGAAGTACAATCTGCATGCAAAGTGTAGTTGAATAAATAAATAATGGATGAAAGTTAGAGGAGGTGACATTCACATGCATCAATTTCATGGTAGTCATACAAACATCATAAGACTTTACCTTAGATTACTGAAAACTAAATCTAAACTCTTTTCTTTAAAAGGTATAAATTCTTCATCAGCAACCATTTTATATGTGGGCACTTCTGGAGACACCTCACTTTGAGCCTTCAAAAATAAAGAACAGAAATATCTTTTCAAAATGAGTGAAAAAAAAGTACCTAAACAATACTATTTGCAATGTTGATTCTAATAAAATGAGATGACACGACAAATAGTAGAATTTTCAAAAATGCTACGCTGTGATTTTTTTCATTACATTATCTTTATAAGATTTGAAATTATATTGCATCTTTGGTCAAATCTCTCAGCAATACAAATTTACAGCTTAATGAGGAAAAATGACTTATTCAAAGGTTACTAAGCTTTCACAAACCAACTGAAATCTGATGTCCAACATTTGTGCAACACAAGCAGATGAAATCAAGCTTTAAACACTGTAACTGACAGTCAGCCTCAAACAATTATGATACCAGAAATTAAATAACTTACCAAAACTTTTTCAGCAAATTCACATTGATATAGAGTTGAGACCATATCACTATAAATATGTTTTGATACATGACCTCTACTACAGCCTAAATCTAAGGCAACATTAAATTTTCTGGAAGATAAAGAGTCAAGTGGTTTTCGCATTAATAAATCATGATATGGGAATACATGTCATTACTTCTTACACTGCTTTTTCATATATAGAATGGTGTTTTATTTCTTAAATATTCAATTCTATGACTTTTGCTATCATAGGGAAAGACAGTTGAGTTTGAAAAAGTGTCAAAATTTTTAATAGGAGAGATCGGCCATGATGTCATAGAGGTGGTTTGCGTATCAAATGATGTACTACTATTTCTCCTATTTACCTTTTTATATCACATATTCTATCAGCTAAACCGTAACCAACCTAAAATATATATATCATATAAATCACAGATCAGTGCAGAGTCTACTCAGTTTGCAAGCAGTAGATGAATTGTGAAATCAAACTGACTAATGCCATAGGCCTCCAAAACAGGTGATATTTCAAGCTTAGCCTACAGTGAGGCACTGTTCGAAAGAAAGAATCCATGATCTTCAACTTTAAGCAAAAGAAGAAAAAGTTTTTCTACGGGTCTACTTACTTCTTCTTTGACATAATTATACACTTCATAGTCTTCCATTGATGCGGTCCTATTTCTTTGCATTCTCTTGGCATTTCTATCAAAAACATTCATGATGTTATCCCCCTTCCTGTCCGAGTAAAAGCGCACACTATGTGGAGCACCGAGAGGCAAAATAGAGTTCTTTACAAACCGAAGAAGACTTGCTCTCTTACACCATGTCATTTTGCAGCTGTCAACAGCCGTCATACGCAGCATTTTTCGATTATTTTACAATTTTGTACATAAATGCTGATAAAGACGTGAATATTGTGTACAAGTCATTGATAGATTCTTCTGAATCAGCAATTTATGATTGAAAAAATGCACAAAATAGACAAAATTCGTTAAAACGGAAGTGACACCATTTATTATCTTCATTTCATAAAAAGATTAGAGAGCTACACATGGGAAGTAACCCATCCATGACACTACTCAGAACACAGTTAAAATCCTTTAACTATTTCTTTTACTAGAAAATGGAACTGTATACAGTTTGTATGCCATTTCGTACATTTCTAGTATTTCTGAAGACTATTAGCATATATTCAAGAGTAACATCAACCCCACAAAATGCCTCATCTGTCCCTTTAACAATTAGTACAATTAATCAACCCTTTAAAACAAATTCAGTTTGATCAAGAAGATACATAAATATGAATTGCATTCTTTAGAAATATGTTAATAAATGTATAATAAATGATGTTTTGGATAATGAAAACTTAAAAAAAAAAAAAACGGAATACCCCTTTTACATCTTCTCAAGATAAGTCAAAGCAGCATAAAGTTTGGAAATTTTTCCACTTATGTTATTCTACTACAAAGTATTCAGAAAATTAAAGAATTATTTTAATATAATCAATATATCTATATTATATCATAGCACTACATATCCAATCAAATTTCAAATAAAATGTGTATGAAAAACAATCAACAATCCAATCAAAAGTGGCTTAAAAACTATGGTAGAGAAAGATGAATAGTAGGAACTACCTTGTATCATCACAGCTTTTTTAAGTTATGTGTTTAGATAATCCTTAGTTCAGAAAATACAGACTTAGGTAGGTTTTCATCTAATTGTAGACAAGCCAGACATAAAATATGTCTTCTGGAAAATGATAAGGAACTTGAACTGCATATACCTATAATAATGTACTTCTATAAACAATCAGGAACTCCAAACTGAATTAGGTAATAATCTATCTTTAATTCACAAATGTAGTTATGCAACAGAAAATTCCATAACCTCTGAGATCGATTGTGGGCAAAACAGTTTGACAACAAAACTCACAGAATAAGACTTTTATCTTCCTTCAATTAGTAACTCAATCAAAATAACATTAGGCATTGAGTTCACTATCAATTTCTATAATCTCATGTTCATTTTCTATCAGCATATAAATTCATAAATATAACAGATAATTTGTAACAGGTTTTCAGTTTTTCATATTCTTTGGATTAAGGATTTCAATCCAATATCCATCAGGATCCATGATAAAAGCTAATCCTTTCATAACACCTGAAAAATATAATCATTTCAAATAAATCATGAGAAATTTGAATTTAATCATATGCATTTTGACTATGTCAAGGACAATAACTCTAAAGCCCTTTGATAAAAAATTGTGTAAATTATACCACAAGATCTAAAAAAATAAACTACAGTTTTTCTAGTTCTTCTGCTCCAGAATAACGACTAGAAAATTGAAAACATGCAAAGTCAAACAGTTTTCAAGTTTCAGACGTCCGTGGTTCCTGCAATCCCACTAAACCTATGTGTTTGATGACGTCACTAATCGCGAAGGGTCTTGGTGATAAAGCATATTTTGCAATTAGTGATGTCATCAAACACTTATTTTTCACAATAATACAATAAATATAGACTCTATTTCTGGAAGTTATGGCTATAAAAATTTACATGTACCTTCATCTGGTTTCTTTTTAAACTGAACTCCCATGGATTCAAATCTTTCACAAGCTTTATATACATCAGGTACAACGATACCAATATGGCCTGAAAGTCAAAATATCAACAGTAATAGATACAGATACAGATTTGCAAGTTATTCTTTTTATTTTAAGCCCATCTTACAACTCAACATGGCCATAATATTGCTACAGTTGAAAATTACATCTATTCTAGTTCATAGGATTTTGGAACATTATTAAATGCAGAAATTACACAAAAACATATATACATACATCTAGAATATCAAGACTGTCCCTTTTAGAGAAAATTTAAATATCACTTATTTTTACTATTTCTTTCTTTGATATTTTCATTAATAAGTGCTTCATGATGCCTTTTCCACCAAATAGAAGGTATTTTCAATGACTTTTATATGTCAAAATTTTTGACAGTTGTCGTCCTACAGGTGGTAGTATATCCAAATACATAATAGTCAATGAAATGCTTACCAAAACCTCTGGGATCAGAATTCCCATTATGATACTGCATATCAGTTGACTCTGTACCCCAATTACTATAAATAACGTGAAATTGATTGAGTGGCTATTCAAAGTTTGAATAATATCATTTTTTATCATGAATCTTCTAACTTTGTGTTAATCAAATTTGGCAATTTGCTTCAACAGAAATATATCGTCCCATGGAAAAGGGCCTTTAAAAATTGCAGTGTGCTCCTATATACGTAAGACATTTTGTAATATTATAATAAAGTCTACATGCAAAATCTTGAATGTTGAAAAACAAATTGAAAATCAGTCCATTTCCAAAAATACTGGGAGAAGTAAATTTTTTCAACACAATTTTTTGTTATTTTGAAGCTGGTACTAAACTCTCTGTTTAAATATTGTGATATTTGATTAAAACATACTGTGTAAGTTCCAAGGTAGCTTTCTGTGAAAAACAATACAGTGTTCTTTCTCCTTCATCTTTAGGAATATTGGCAGCATCATCATAGCCCATAAAATATAACGAAAATTTCATGGCTTCAAAATCCAATTTTTTTAATAACCTGAAAAATACCATATACATTACTTGAGGAGAATCAATGCAATAATATTTTTATACATCCATAGACATCTTAAGACATAAACACTTTATTTTCATTCAGGCCTAAATAAGCACTAACATATGTCAGAAAAAAATAGTCAAATCAAAATCTAAAACATTGAATACCTCATTCCTAACACATTGGTGTAAAATTCCAGAGACTTCTTAGGATCTTTGATTCTCAACATGGTCTGTTGAAAGAAAAATCCCTGAAAATTACAGATAAAAAAAGATCATAAAATTGTCAATTGTCGAAAAAAAAAAAAAAATCTGATGCAGGTAATGGATGTGTTTTACTTGCTGGCTTTAGAGGATAAGATTTAATCTGGTTAGGTCAAAAGTGACTGAAATATTCTCAAGATGTCGATTTGTCCATGGAATTGTAGGGCGAATTGACACATTAAGTGTCACATTGTCATTCTAAGTCCAAACTCCAACTCCAAGTAAACGATCAGAATATCTGATACAAAATAACTAGGGTTCAAACATACATCTGTTTCCTTCGAAGGCTCTGTGCAAGAAGCATTTGCTTCCTCAGAACTGAGTGCCATAATGATTTCAAAGAGGAACTTCTAAAAATTCATGTACAATAAGCCAAGTTGGCAGTCAGATACAGTATGGCTTGACGAACGAGTCTACGAAAACATTTTTTCATGATCATCCAGACCCAGACATTAAACGAAATTCGATTGTCGTAATTTTCTAACATTATTAAATTTAGGTGAGATGATAGGTATTATTCAATATATTGTCTAAATTTTCTTATAAATTTTGGATTGAATAGATTTTATGTGAATATTTAATATCTTTTAAATCAGTTTTGCGACATAGATTTAAAGGTTTCGAAAGGCTGGATGACGTAGTCAAAATGGCGGAAAATCCGAATTGATGTTTACTAAATCGATATTTTAAAAAGAAACAGGTTGTTATTTTAATAAATTGTTTATGTTTTTAATATCGTGTTGTCTTCCTCCAGTTAATGCATTATCTTAAAGATGTGTTTTTAGGATACAAATTCTTTCAATCTCGTGACTTCGAATGAAAGTCGATCAATAACATTGTAGTCTCGATTGTCAAGTAAAGTAAACAATAACTTCATAGGAAGCAGAATATTCTTCTAGATCAGCATCTCCTATAATATTAGAACCTTTGAGAATTTGAGATCAAATTTGATAAAAATAAACACATTTTATTTTTTTGATTGTTGATGTTTGTCTTTTATATTGGTCAATGAATTCAGAAATCAAATTTATCACCTATTTCTATGTGTGTAGATAGATTTATTGTTATTGATATAATCCATATAATATAATGAGAAACTTGAAATGGAAGGTGATATATTAAACTTAAAACGTGAAATGTTGAATCAATTAATCATTTTTTACATTTCAATCTCTAACTAGCCCACGTCATGGACTGTCATTTTTAATTTGCATTCGTTACTTGTTAACTCTCCAATTCCACAAAACACGATTTCCTATCTCTTTTACTTGGAAAGTTTACTTTTCTGTAAGTCTCTATGAAAATCAGGATGTTAGCATAATTACCGTTTGCGAAATTGGACTAATATTCGACATATTACTGATAAAATAACAATTTTAGAGTTCAGTGTCAAATATAATTATGCTTTTAGCCCTTCTTCATAACTTAAATAAACATTCATTTGCATAAATCTTGGTCAACTGATTTTCAAGACCTTCTAGTCCTAGCATAGTTTTAACCCAGTATCAGAATACTATATCCTTTAATATGATATCAATGAATTAAAAGTATAAACAAAACACTTTTAAATCATATTTTGAGGTAAAAACATTTTCCAGATGAAGTGTTGAGTAAAACATTTTCCAAATGAAGTTTTGAGGTAAAAATGGATGTAAGTGTTCTGCAAGAAGCTTTTGAAAAGGTCTACAAGCAGAGCCCAGCACCTATGCAGGTAATATTCAATTATGTCTTTATTGATGCATAGAAAATGTTCTGTGTATTATTTGTTTTGTTTGTGTGAGGAGGTTTTCTAACATATTTATGGGTGTATGGGGATACTGATCAATTTGCATCATTCCAATTTTCAATCAGACTTCTGTGGTTCTTGCTATTCCATTAACCCTAAGTGTTTGATGATGTCACTAATTGTGAAGGTCCTTATGTGATAAAGCATATTTTGCAATTAATGATGTCATCAAACTCATGGTTTTAGTGGAATCATAGGAACCAAAAATTGATGCTAACAGTGTCTGCAACACACATAAAAATTTCTAACAATCTGGTATAAAAGTATCTGAGGTGGATATCTCATATATTATTCATCAATTCTTTATATAAGCTTCTCAATTCATTACTTTACTTCTCAATAGATTACTCATGAATATATGACTACATAATATATATTCTATATTGTTTTATTTCAGGTTGCGGAAGAAGTAGGATCAAAGCTTCATCTTTCTTTTAGTAAGTTTCAATTTTAACTTTAATTCTCTTCAACGCTATTATCTGATTAGCTACAGACTCACTGTGTCTCTTTGATTTGCATTAGGGTGGAATGCAGTCAATGAAATCCGCTTACAATTTTTATATGCCCACATAAAATGTGGAGCTTTTAATGGCTTCACCTATATGTATCCGTCCACAATTAAGCTGCGATTACATGTGTTCATAAGCTTAACTCAAACTGTTTTTTTTTTAAGCTTTATGTAAATATTTACATTTTCTTAATGAAAATTTTACAGTTTTTATGAAAATTTGTCTATCTTTATGAAAATTTGTCAATCTTTATGAAAATTTGTCAATCTTTATGAAAATTTGTCAATCTTTACGAAAATTTGTCAATCTTTATGAAAATTTGTCAATCTATATGAACCTTGATGTAGTTTTAACGTTACAACATTATAAAAAATCTACTTAAAAGTTTATTAGTTTGGCATTTCTACAATACGAGCCTTTCCCTTTAAACTAGAAATTCAATATTCAATTTCATGTTTGTCCTGAAATTGTGCGTGACAGGATTAAAAAATTACTTGTGAATTTAAGTGCAGAAAACATCAAAGGAATTAATATTTAAAGCTGTATTTGAATCTTATTCTTCTTAAAGGGATATAGTTGTATAGATATTGCTATAACAACTCACAATTTCACCTATCTTAGGGACAGATTCACCATTTTTAGGGGTTACCAGAAGTACTAGAAGTGTACGAAAATCGCATAATTCCTTTGAAAATATCTCAAAATGGGAATGTCTTTTGTATATGTGTCAGTGTCACACAGTGGACTGTGAACATTACTACTGATTGCCTTAGCTAAAAAAAAAACCCTGTTTCTGAGACCTCACTATGATTGGTCACAAATTATGGAGCATCTGTCCCTTTAATGATGGAAAGCTTCTCAGTTGAACAAAGGTTACATTGTTTTATATGCAGAAAATTGGAGCATTAAAAAAATAAATGGATTTTACTAACATTTTCATACTGTAAAGTTATCTTCTAGTCATAAAAATACAACATCAATTATCTTAAAATGACATGTGCCATTAACTACCAGTAAAATAATCAACACTTTTAACACAGAAATAATCAATAAACCGGAAAATTATTGTCTTGAATCTCAACATTATCACAATAATTAATGAAAACTTGAATATACCAATTTTTACAATAATTAGCTTATTTATGAGTATTGAATATTTTTCAGTTAAAAGATCATCAAGTATTTTTATACATTTTTCAATCAGACTATATTACTTTGTTTGATAGGAAAAGAGAAATGCATGACTTTTCAGCAAGTTTACTCTAGGGATTTCAAAGAACTTTTCAGGAACTTTGGTGATTCATTAAGGAGGTTTTTTTAAATTGTTTATGTATATCAGGGACACTGATAGCATCAATTTGCATCATTCCAATTTTTCAATCAGGCTTCTGTGGTTCCTGCAATTCCGGTAAAACTAAGTGTTTTATGACATAAGGTCTTTCACGAATAGTGACGTTATAAAATGCTTAGTTTTAGTGGAATTGCATGAACCAGAAACATCTGATTGAAAATTGGAATGGTGTAGATGATATGTGGACCTGATACACATAAAAAATTTAGAAAACATCTTTACAATCGCTGTTTGTTAAACAATTAAGGTTTAGTTGATGAAGTGAAACTTTCTAACTCTAATATTTTTTTGTCATTGATTCAATCATATTCAAGATGGTTGTTTCTCAAAAAATCTTAGTCTAGAAATATATTGTGAGATTTCACATGTTAATATTGCTATCATTAAATGGAAGGAAGTTTGGAGGAAGTTTATGATAAAAGGTTACAGATAGTTGATAAATCAAATAGAGATACAGTAAGTCTCTACTCTTTAGATTACATTAGTGAAGAAAGAAAGAGATATAAGCTTATAGATTGTGTTTGAAGAAAGATATTTATTTTACTTCATGTAATTGTAAGGTTATTAGCTAGGACAGTTATGATTACTTTAGAAACTGAGGGTAGTATATGGTAAAGTTGTAGTGCTGAGGACAATTTTCATTATCTATGTGGTATACTTGTCATACTGACAGTTGTCATTACATCTATTTGGTAAGTTTATATTTGTCATGGAGAGGACAGTTGTCATTATATCTATTTGGTAAGTTTGTATTTGTCATGAAGAGGACAGCTGTCATTACATCTATTTGGTAAGTTTGTATTTGTCATGAAGAGGACAGCTGTCATTACATCTATTTGGTAAGTTTATATTTGTCATGGAGAGGACAGCTGTCATTACATCTATTTGGTAAGTTTGTATTTGTCATGAAGAGGACAGCTGTCATTACATCTATTTGGTAAGTTTGTATTTGTCATGAAGAGGACAGCTGTCATTACATCTATTTGGTAAGTTTATATTTGTCATGGAAAGGACAGTTGTCATTACATCTATTTGGTAAGTTTGTATTTGTCATGAAGAGGACAGCTGTCATTACATCTATGTGGTAAGTTTGTACTTGTAATACAGAGGACAGTTGTCATTACATCTATGTGGCTTTAATAGTTATTGAATCTCTGGGCTTTCATGTAATAATGGGAGAGTTTTTTTGAGGACAGTTATTATTACATCTATGTGGCTGTCTTGTAATACTGAGGACATTTGTCATTGCATATATGTGGCATACCTGTAATTCTGAGGACAGTTATTATTATATCTATGTGGCATACAGGATCAGGATGAAGCCAGAGTATTACAGAGTTTCAGTCTCCAATTTTTAAGAGGATCAGGAATCAGGATTGTGCTTGAATTCTTCAGTTTAACAGAATTCATAGATAGATATTATTAAGGATCAGGATCAGACATAAACTTTTCAGGCACTCTACCATTCTTGGGGTCAAATTATTATTCAAAGATTACTGAAATTCGTTACGTAAGAAGTTGGCAGAACCATCTTAGTTATTAATGTTTTACATTCAGTTTGGAAATAATTGTTTGATTCAGTGTGAAAAAATCATACATCATGGAAACTTTATGTAATCTAATTAGGTAGAAACAGTTGGTTATATTAAGAACTAATGTCAGACTCAATAACTTTCTTGAAAGCATTTAGTTTGATAAAAGGTTTTAAAGTGGAATGTTTTTTTTTTTTGTATTTGAGAGTAACATCTTAATGGCAATAATGCAACTTGCTCTGATTATGGTGGTTATGATTTAGGTCATTGGAAAGGTTTAAGTGCATTCACATCTTGATGTGCATAAAAAGTTTTTTTATATGTACACTTTGAGTACTCTGTTACTCTCTCTAATCCGAAATTGTTTTATGGCCCCAGTGTATGTCAGATTACACAGAGTATCCTGTATTGATAAATATTTCGCATAATTTGATATTATTGTCTTGTGTAATTGAACATATTAATTACAACGATTAATTTTCTAATTAAAAAATCAGACAACAGGTTCCCAACTGGTAATGTATTGATGAATTACTTTTAGTTTCATTAAGCTTTGATGTTATTAAAGGGCCATTCCAGTTATCTTGCAGGTGTAAAAAAATTTTGCTCCAATTTATGAAAACTATACATCAAAATCTAGAGAAATATGTCCCTTGACCTATCAGAAAGTTTTAACTACAAAATTCAGCCGTTAACTATATCAAAAATTTACTGAAACTTTATAAGTTTGTTATGTTTTTTGGAAGCTGTCAGAAAACTACTGCACAGATAGATAAGTAAGATAAACGCCTAAATGTAGAGAAATATGTTTCTTACATGTTCTTAAGGTTTTAACTAATGATATTGAGCCATTATAAAGCCGAACACTAAGAAAAGGTCAAAATGCATAATTAACAATTGGACATTATAAATTATTGCTTTGAAGGAGTGAACCTAACATTCAATTTTTATTCTGAAAAATAAGTTAAGTTATATTTAAGCAATTGATTTTTAAAATCCACTTTTGTAAATTTTACACAGATGTGTTCCTTTAAGACATTTTTCAGTTGATATGGCCAGATCTGTAAAATTGTAGTTTAAAGGGATTGTCAAGAGGTTTTTCAAAACTTTTAATTTGAAGGAGGGACATTGAAACCATTGATTAACACCACTCATATTTTCAATCAGACATCTGTGGATTGGCAATTTAACTAAAACAAGCATTTGCACTTGCAAAAGTAACTAAAAGTATTTTAGTGTCTATTTTGCAATTTAGTGACTCCAAGTTTTAGTGGATATGCAAGAATCACCGACACCTGATTGAAAATTGGAATGGTTCTACTATTTGATATACGTGTCCCAGATACACATAAGTTTAGAAAACCTCTTTACAATACCTTTAAGTTGGTTTTATATCATTTAAAGTGTGACAATATAGTTATATTGTATTATAATAGGTGAAAATTCTATTGCCCATAATTCATCATCACTATTAGAATTATTTGAGAAGACAGTAGACTGTAATAATCAGAGTGCTATGGATATTGGTGGCAACAAAGACAAAAGAGTTCCAATGGTGAAATTAAAGGTAAGGTTAGACACAGTCATCAAAATGTTAGCTTTACCAGTTAGACAGTGGTTCCCAACCCCCTAATCATTGTAAATTCTAAAAAAAAAAAAACATCCATCGTTTGAAAATTATGCACCATACATCCTGAATATAGACCCCCAAAGACAAATTCTTCTCTTACAAAAGACACACCAGTCCCACACTTCTAGGGTTGAAAGCATTCCAGAGAGCTAGAAGAACTTTGGCTTATTGACAGAAATCCTCAAAATTAAACTTCAAGTAGTGTTGATGTTGAGTCTTTAAACACTTCCAGGTTAAATTTCCTACCTGAGTATGATTACATCTGCTGATTTTTTCAACCCTTTTCGATGGTTTTAATTCGAATTTGTTTCATTATATTTCAATGATTTTGATTGGACTTCTATTGAGATTCTTAAGCCCTGTTATTGATCTAATGTTAAGTCAATGTGGATGAAACATTGTGGCTGCTTCAGAATACTATAATTAACATGTTTTCTGTTATGTTCTGTTCTGAATTTACAGAGATTAGAGATTACAGAGAAGAATCTGTCAAATTGTCAAAAGTTGTATTTATGGATTATTAAACCGATACCTAATTCATTTGGTATCTGTGTGGAAGGCAAACGAAGGTAAAATTATATTACATTATGTCAAGGCTATTATACTTTTAACCAACATAGTCATGGTTGTGAGAACTTTGGATAATTATTAAGAACTTTATAATTTTTATTTTTTTGTAAGCTTACTTTATTAAAGCTATCATGTCCTCACAAAAATAAAATTCATAAGTCACAGGTGTAACATTGGTCTTATAACTCACTTATCACCATTGGACATTGTGCCACATTTTTGTTCGTTATTACATTTGGATTTATTTTCTTTTGCATCACTGGGTTTGATATTTGCTTGTTTTAATGTGTTTAAAGATTAGTTGTTCCCTGTTTGCTTAATGGTTGAAAGTGTATCCCACAAACCTTTATTCATGAAGGCAGCCATTCTTTTTTCTTTTATCTAATATGATAACTAGCAAAATATGCTGGAATAATGACTAGATAGCTTGCTGAATCCAATACGATGAAATAATTTCTCACTTGCTCTTTTGTAAGAGCATGGTAGCTTTAATAGAGACATAATTCTATATTGTAGTCTGGAAGATGATGATTTTTGGCATAGTGGAATGGTAACCACAAGATATACTTCTACTATTATTGGTACTAGTAGTGGATCCATTTATGAATTAATTGATGAAATAGAATTTTTGGATGCGCTTGAGGCAGGTATGATATTCATTTTAAAGAGTTGCCAGTTTTATGTAAACATCTTGTTAACCTGAAATTGTGTTGATTTGTTTGGTTGAATAGTTAACACACCTGTCTTGAAAATGTCTTTAGATATGAGTATAAGCAAAGTAACCCACAGAAAATAAATGAAACAAAATATGTAGAGCTTATTGAACCCAGGTACAGTATTGTTCATGCCCTTTTCACATTAATGTCAAAATAGCTTCATCTTCTATGTGTACACTCAAAATGAGATGCAATTTGGCAAGTTCAATCGAAGAGTGGCATCATGTGTTCATGAATTATCTGAAATTCATGCAAAACATGAGCTGTGTTATGTACATCTATATATTTTGCTTGCAGGTATTCCAGAAATTCTTGCTCAACAATTTAAAAATGGTTTCCCTACAAACTGGGATGACTTGGTGGATGAATACTTACCAAGGTACTGTTCTATCATTATTGGTAATTTCATCAGCTTATGGACATTTAACTGATGAAATAACTTCTGACATATGTTAAAGTTACCTTTGCTTATTTTTCTTGGTCAAATCATGATCATGCTTATTGTTTGATTAATTAATGTTTCTAATGAATGAATCAATTACCTTTGAGTGCTAAGATTGTGTGAGGATGTAGAAAAGCTTGGGGATCAAATTTACCTTATGGAAATTGTGAGACCTGATAATCTTTATTAAGTGACCGCGCGATCATTTGAATCCCCTCGTAATTAGTTAATTACTAGTTAACTATTGACTTCTGAGACAAACTGGTATTTTTCCCAAGCATTAGAACACCTCTGCTTTCGATTTATATTAGTATTAGCTGTCCAATAATGGAATACATGTATATAAATAAATAAATGAAAATAAGGGAATCGTACTTTAACTGAAAGATTTGCTGTGATTTGTAGAAGATTTCTGTTATCTGTGTAACAAATCTCCTGTTTCTGTAATTTGTACATCAGGCTTCTATGATCTGTATGTCAAGTATATACCATTGTTAAATTTGTTAATTGTTATTTATTTTCTAGTGATATTGAAATTGGTAATTCAAGTGTTGTGGCTAAAGGTCCACCTGAAAGTAAGCATCAGTTGAGTCTTCTTCTTTCTTAAAAAAACAATGCTTTGGTAAAGTATATCTTAAATAGATTAAAACTAAAAATATGCCTACATTACACTTATTGGCACATAATTTTGACAAAGGAATATTTTCATTAATTTCATTAAGTGCTGATAGCGGGGGAGGGGGGAATGGTATAGCAACTTTATGAGAAAATGAATTTGAATGAAACGATTTCTCTAGCTATTGATTTTAAAATATAACAGGCACATTTGTGTTCAATTGTAGAAAAAATTTTCACATTTCTTACTTTTTATACTTTTAACTATAAAAAATTGATACTATCCTAGATACTTGTAAGCTAAATAAATCTCACTGGCATAATTTACATTTCTCTAGAATTTTCTTTTTCTCTGTTCAGATATATTTGATGTGGCCAATACCTTTGTCAGTCAACAAGTACAGGCAGTGGTACCGCAGCAACAGGAAAGTGTCAATTCACTCGTTCAAGATGGCTCTTATTTAGGAGAAGTTATCCAGACAAATGTGCAATCACCAGTGACAGAAATGGTACAAGATGCAGATATTTCAAATTCAAATGTAAGCAACAGCAACAATGAGCTGGTTGTCAATGGTAACCAAGATTCAATCGTCAATGGCAACCAAGATGACAGTGTTCAAGATCAGGTAGTGAATGAGATTTGTACAGAAAATGAAGTAACAGAAAGTATACTCAATCAAACTATGGTGGACAAAGACATAATTGACAATAATGGAAATATTTTACCGTTAACAAAGTCCACCAAGACCAAAACAGTTGCTGATGATAACTTACAGGATGTTGAGACACAGGATAGAACTCCATTTACTAGTCGTCAAAAACGGATGACTTCTGCTGCTGATGATAACCAGCAATATGACAATTCAACTGTGTCTGCCTCAGATATTTCATATGAAGCTGCCAAAACTGTTAAGCAGGCAAAGAAGATCTCCCAAGAAGTAGATGCAGGGGCAGAATGTCATCGAACTTATGAAAATATGAATAAAGTAAAGGAAAAAATGAGAGATCCACCACCAAAGGGAGGAAGTAAAAAAGCAACTCAGGCTAGTGGTCAATCAAAAGCACCTAAATCAAAGAAACAAAACAAAAAATCTCTTCCAACAGAAACTTCTGAAAGTGAACTCAGTATTCCAGAAATTGTTCCAAGTATTCCTGAAACAAACAATTATGATTCTGAGAGTGAAATCGAAACAGTTTCCAAAAAATCTTTAAGAACAATCTCGAAAAAAGCTACGTCTGCTAAAAGCAAAAGTCTTCCAAAACAATCTTCAAAATTTGTTTCAATTGGAATTAATGAAGATGACATTATTGAAGATGTGGTTCCCCAGAAATCTTCCAGAAATACAAAAATGAACAATACTCAAGTTGACAAATTAAGAAAAGCAAGAAATATTGCTTCAAAACCATCAAACAATTCATCGCATAAACATGTTCTTACCTTACCAGATGTTCAGATAACATCAGCTAGTTCTGCTGATGAGGCAATAGAAGCTTCAGAATCTTCCAGTCAAATTGTATCACACTCTAGAAAAGATAAATCGAAGTCGAAAGGAACAAAACCAGCCACACCTTTATTTGAATGGATCATACGACCTTTTCCTAGAACGAAAGGTGTCATTGTGGAGGGAAAGCGCAGGTGAGCAGACGGCACTTGATGCTAAAGTTTATTAACAGAAAAGTAGGGCATTATCAATTGCATAACCTTGTGAGTTTGAGACTTAAAATCTTGTGGCATAATTTGTCTGGCGATGTGCAGGAGAAATGATGGCTGTCTTGTAACATGGAATATATCTTCCTTTCTGATTCCACTTGACACACTTGGAAAGGGATACAAATGATCCCAAGAGGTTTGGTCAAAGACCAGCAGAAAGTAAAGATTATTAGAAATCCTTCTCGGCATCTCCATCAAAACATACAGTATTGCTTGATTTCAATGATTTGAGAGGATACTATAAACTTGTTGTATTGTATTGTAGAGGTGATGATGCCTACTGGAGAAGTTCCTCTATAGCAGAACGTAAAGATTCTAGAACTTTAATAACTGATAGAGGATCAACCTATAAACTGGTAGGAAATATTGAGAAATTAGATGCTATTGATGCAGGTTTGTATAGATACATCACTTTTGTCTTTGCAACTTTCATTGGATTTTGTTCCAAAGACCAATGATGCTACAGCAGCAGCATACTGTTGACTTTTTTCTTCACAAGCTCAATAACAAGTCTATAGTTAATCTGTTACTGTTTCAACTAATAAGATTTGTTATCGATATGGTTTGTTTCCGTCCATGAAATAAAGGCAAATGGCTCAATTTTGAAACATATATGGACGTCTAACATGTATAGCGAAACTTCTATTTTTTAGGCTTTTCACCTGGTATTGTAAAGGCATTTACTAATGGTTTTCCTAAGAAGTGGAATGAATTAATAGAAAAACATTATGTTTCTGAAGATAGGTAAAAGATCATTCTTACTTAGCTCTGAACATTCAAAGAAATGTTTTTATACGCCCACAGATGTGCAGATTAGTGACCGCCCTTGATACACTGAAAATGTGGTGGGCGTATCTTACTAGTCAACCACTCGTTATATTTTTTTATGCATTAGTTGGTTGCCCAAAATACTTCTAGATTAAGAAATTTGATGAACTAGACTCAGTGATAGAGGTTGAAAACCAACACCATGTCAAACCTCAGTAGCGCTTGTAGTTCCATCAGAGATTCTAATCTAGGATAGCTATTGCCTATAAGATCTCCTGTAAAAACAGAGGCATGGTTGTTACAGTGTTAAAGGAGCACCTTTACTATCGACCAATCATACCTTAGTTTCAGAAACAGGAGTGTTTTAGCTTACATCAGTAATAGTGTTCACAGCTCATCTTCAAATCCATGTGTATCCATAATTATTCACATTTGAAAGTTAAAAATTTGACTCGAATTTTAGCGAAACTATGCCATATATAGAAATAGACAGTAAAATTTCTAATTTGAGGTATATTTGAAAGAATTATGCGATTTTCGTGCGTTTTAGTACTTGTGATGACTATTAAAGCACAATAAAGACCCAAATCAATCCCCACAAATGCTGACTTCGCCTTTAAAAATAATTGGCCCCCATCGTATTTTGATACAAGTTTTGTTAGTTTTGAGCTTTATGACTGCAACTGAGATGAATCTTTATACTTAATTTAGAAATACTTATCATCCTAATGGTACTATGAATGTTAGTACTGTCTCCACTAAAACTGGTAAAACTGCAGTTGCTAGTCCATCTGAGGTCTTAAACGGAAGTAAGTATTTCCTTTAGTCATTAAATTTTGTTGGGATAACAACTACAGTTTATGAAGATCTTTCCTACCAGCTGGTTATTGGTTACATCTCTTGGCATTGATCTTTCTTGGATTATCTGTACCCATTTACAGATTGAATCAATTGGAAATTTGAGGAATGAGGATGTAATGTTCAAGGTCACCAGCTGACTCAGCATAGAAAGCATGTACCTACTACTACCTACCTTGGCTCCAGTAACCATTTTAGCACAGCACTGTCTTGAACTCAGTATTGGATATACTGGTAATATGTTTGGTCTGGGTTTCGATCCTCGCATAGCATGAAAAAGTAACCCCAGAGATTCCGACTTGGTTTACCCATAAAAAGACATAAGTTCATTTTGTTTCATTTATTGTAGCTGTAGTAGGAACCCCATTAGGTCAGTTTGTAGACATAAATCATCTGAAGACAACTAAAAGTGGTAGAGTGGTAAAACCAGTCTTAGCTAAATGGGCTGGTCAAAAAGTTGTTTATGATTCTTCATCAAAACAAATGAAAGTGGTATATAATTCTAAATTTGGTGAAAGTTTTTTCAAAGATCAATGCATCCAAATGGTAGGTGATTCTGGTATATTCCTGTACAATAAATGGTCTTGACGGGAATGAATTTCCCCAATATGTCTATCCATTTACAACTGAAGAGGGTGGACGAATGATTGGTCAGTTATGAACAGATTCAGATCCAATTCTAGGCATCAATCAACAGTCAGGAACCAGATATGTGACATTTAAATTTCCCCTTCTATTCCTTTCTCCGCCATTTTGAATTCCTGTTCACACCTAACTTTTTCCAGCGCACATTAAACTCAATCCTAACCCGGTTCCAAATTGTTTTACTGAACTTTCAGTTGATTCCATGAATTTCGAACAAACACAAATGACCAATCGAGTACCATCTCAGTTTTAAGAAAAGATGATTTATTCACATGCCATCTGAAATTAGAACCCGCAACCACAATATTTTGTATGTGCTCTAAGAGCCTGAGTCAGACTTCAATGGAATTCTACACATGATTCTAACATTTAAAACACAAGTTGACTAAGCAATTTGATTTCATTTCACTTCACTCGATACATAATAAAACAAGTAACTCCCTTATTTCATGAATGTGTATTTGATTATCTTTTTCAGAGTGCTAAAACAAGTAGAACATCTTCCTTACGAAAGAAAAAACCTATCAATGTTAATAGCCGTCAAGTTCTTGATTTATCCAAGGTATTGACATATTGTTGATGGTTTTAGATTGAAAAACATGTAACTGTCGTTGCGGCACATATAAATTAGAGTACTTTAGAAGCAAAATGAAGTATAGCATCCTAGTTCTCTACACGGCAGACTGATGAAGGCAGGAACTCTCGGAAGCTAGTGGGCTCACTATTTATTTATTTTGATAAGAAGCTTTTATTAATATGTTATTCTTAAGAGACATTTAGGGGTCACAGATCGGAATACATAACGGAGCACAATTTTATGGTATACTACTCCAGAGTTTTATTTTCACCTGATGATGACAATGTAAATTGTTGAAACGTTGTGTATTATATATATCTAAGGAGTAGTATACCATAAAATTGTGCTCCGTTATGTATTCCAATCTGTGACCCCTAAATGTATGTATTTTTTTATGATATTCAGATGGATAGCAGTAAAAATCAGAGCCCAAGCAATAACCATGTAAAACCTTCAAAAGTCGCCTCTAAAAAGACCTCTGACCCTGTGGAATCAATTGAAAATGATGATGATGATAGCGCAGATCTTGAAAGACATGTTCGAAATATTATTGAAAATAATCAGAAAAAAAGGTTAAAAAAGCCACCGAAGTCACAGACTTGTTACTCTAAAAACGCCCAGATGGAAGAAAATGACGATGATGTCATGACATCACCCTCGTCACGTACACGCTCACGTCTTCATGAACTACGCGCTAAATCTGATATGAGAAAAAAACGGAAGAGTAAAGATAGAACTGAGTCCGATTCAGATATTGATGATACTGATGTTCAACCAAAACGATCCAAAAAATCTAGTAACGAAATACAACAGAAAAACTCAAAAATTAGTTCTAAGGTTAATGAAATTATACTCGATTCAGATATAGGTGACATTGATGATCAACTTAAAAGGGCAAAATCGAGTTATAAAACTCAACCAAAAAACTCCAAAATTATTACTGAAGTTAATGAAATTGTACTCGATTCAGATATAGGTGACATCGATGATCAACCTAAAAAGTCAAAATTGAGTTATAAAACTCAACCGAAAAACTCAAAAATTATTACTGAAGTTAATGACATTGTACTCGATTCAGATATAGGTGACATCGATGATCAACCTAAAACGGCAAAATCGAATATTAAAACTCAACCGAAAAATACGAAAATTCATTCTAAAAAAAGTGACATTGAACCTGAATCAGATAGTGAAAATGATGAAGAAATTATTTTTAAATCGACAAAGATGTCTAAAAAAGGTGGACCAAAATCACAGACTGTGCAAAAACCATTTAGTTCCAAAAATGGAAGAATGGCGTCAAAGACAAAATGTTCTCCAGTGAAGAAAGCTGTTACTAAGCGTCGTATGAAACAAACGGAAGTGTTAAAAGGAAAATCTAAAACTGTTGAGAAAAATCAAGTTGAAATATCATCAAGTGATACAGATCAGTATGATAATGATGATATTTCATGGGGAAAATCCGAAGTTGTAAGATTAGAAAGGTAAATTATTTCCTTATGGCATCTTGACCTTTAAATAAAATGGAGGTTTCTGTCAGGATTACTTTTCTGTATCTGGGTTAATGAAGACTGGCAATGCCTTGCAGTGTGCAATGAGAGAATTTTTCCAGGACAGCAGCATTATGCTTCTTCTTTTTGTTTTTTTTTCTATTGTCAATCAGATCTTCATTGTGCACAACCTGTATCTTTGATAGGCAATTTAGCAGAATGATCATGAAATCGGGCATCAGTAATGTTTTTTTTTATGCATTGTTGTTTTGTGTGTGATCTATAATTTGAAAATTTAAAAGTCAATAGTCAAGCTATAACTTCTGTTATACAAGAAAGGTGGCTATTGTAGTCAAGGTATTACACTCAGTCGTCATAGCTTGACATTGTGAAGATGTTGATAGCTCTATGCAGAAAAGTGATTAACATCATTTGGCAATAATTTTCATCTGAAGCAATCTGCAATTTACTTATAATACATACTTCTTGTAATTGTAGTGCTTTAAAATGTATAACTCAGTATAATGATAATATGTGGAAGAGAATAGCAGATGCAGTAAATTCAAGAACTCTTAAAGAATGTCAAGAATATGTGGAATCACAACAACAATATCAGACATTTCTGCAAAATGTTGAAAATTCCAAGAGTAAGTTTAATTCTGTTATGGATGATGACTGTTTAGTGTAATGTAATATGGAAATATTGCCTTTGTGTATCTGCATGAATTTGACCAAATATTAAGAGGATTGAAAAGGGCCTACATGATAAAGCATATTTTTTGATTAGTGTTGTCATCAAACACTTAGTTTTAGTGGAATTGAAGGAACCACAGACATCTGATTGTAAGTTGGAATGGGAAAAATTGATGCTGTTTGTTTCCCTGATACACTTAAAAAATTTAATCCTTTTAAAACACATTCGAATTGGCATAACATATTTCTGTGGCCACAAGGAAAGCTGAGTCATTGGGAGACCAAAAAATATGTATGGTTATTTGGTGAAATGTCATGTCCCATTAAATTGTTTTGAATTCACTGTAGGGTAGATTTGTTTGTTGTTGATTGAGGACACAGATTGAACATTATGCTAAAGTACATCAATGCATTCATAATGTGAGCACAGTGTGATATTGATATGATGATATAGGTCTTCCTGAAGGAATTATCTAGTTGGATAATCCAGTTAAAGAGTGCAATTAGGTGTTCCAGAAGAGTAATCATGGTCCTTCTTGCTACTTCTGCCTCTGGCACTTGTCTAACCCCTATTCATTATGTTTTGGTGTGTCTGATTTCACATGTTGTTTATTTTTTTTTTAAATATTATTATTGCAGAAAGTAAAACAAACAAAAGAATAGAAATAACAGCTAAGAAAGGTACATTGAAACGTAGAAAACAGATTCGAGAGTTTTTAGAACAAGGTATTGAAGGTGATGAAGAGCCTGATCTATTTGATTCTACACCATTTAGAGCTAATACAAAGAAAACAATTGTAAGTAATTCATTTATTACTCATAGAAAATTCAGATTTTTTTATCTGATACAGATTTTGCTATTGACAGTTGCCAATGAAGATATTTTTATGCAAAATAGCTGCTCTACTTCAGGTAGTTCTCTTGAGAAAACTTGATAAAATTCCACTTTCAATTCAAATGAAAACAAAATTTTAATCAGCAATCTGACTTTCCGTTCATTCATACAAAAAACTTAATGACACACTGTTGCAATTCCACTAAAACTAACATGTTTTATGACGTCACTAGAGAGGGAACTACATAGATATTAATAGTAGCTTCAGGTAGCTCTCCTCTAGTGATGTCAAAAAACGTGTTAGTGTTAGTGGAATTACAAGATCACAGACGTCGGAATGAAAATTGGAATGGTGCAAATTGAAACTATCAGTATCCCCCGATACACATAAAAAAGGATTATTTTTGCTCTATATGAAAAAAATCCAATGAAATATTAAATATATTTATGTATTAAATACTATTTTAGGTACCAAGATTAGATGAAGATGTATTTAGTACTGAAACTGATTATCCTATAACACCAGGTGCTAACTGTCGAACACCTAGTATGAAATACTACCAAGCACAATTCTCAGCCAAGAAAACACCTGCAGATTGTATCATTAGTCCCACTAACAATGCTGTCAATAAGTAAGTCTGAGTGGTATTTTGATAAATAGTCCATGAGTTATTGCCCTTGACTTTTAATCAATGGGTAAGATCTTGAAATAGTTCAGAATTAGTGATTTTGCTATAAATGGTTCTTGAGTTATTGCCATTGACTTTGTATCAAGGTGGTATTCCTTTTAATGGTAAGTGAGTTATTGGCCTGACTTTGTATCAAATGATGAGATCTTGAAATTTTTCAAAGTTGGTGGTTTTCCTTTAAATGGTACATGAGTTATTGCCCTTGACTGTATCAAATTATGAAATTTGAAATAGTTCAAAATTGGTAGATTTGCTTTAGATACTTCCTGAGTTCCTGAGTTATTGCCCTTGACATATAAAATGTTGATATTTGAAACTTTTTCAAAATTTTTCAAAATTGTTGTAAATGATTCTTGAGTTATTGCCCTTGAAAATTTGTTGTTAATAAGATAGAGGCTTAGATTTTGAAGAAATTTATTTCTTTGAATAGATTGTATTTTCTAAATGTTTTTCATGTATTGACTGAATGATTATTTATATGACTTCATCATCTCCATAGTCTGACAAAAACCAAAAGCAGCCCATTGTACACCACAACAAATGGTTAGAACTTATGTCTGTTAACTAATGCTTGTATATTCTTTTTCCAATATTCCAATTGACAATTTGATTGACCTTCTAGTGCTAAAGCTGATAAGATAGTCCATCATTATTTAAAAAGAAGAAAAATGGTTAAAATAAAGACTACTAAAAAGGTAATTATATGTATTGAATATTACATGAGACAACATGGCTAACTTGTATATGGAATGCCCTTTTATTGAAATTTGCACTAAGAATTTTGAGAATATTTTGTTAAAGCAAACCTTGGATGATACTGACTTAATTGTTATTTATAGCAACTCTGTTTTGTTGGCCAAGGAATGATAAGAATATCTTCTTAGTTTTAAGGCAGGATATGCTTACTCTTCTAGACACCTGATACCACTTTTCATATTGAAATACATGTATTTCCTCATGTAAAATTTAAAAATGTAAATAGTTCATTTGTTGCTCAATGATTGCCAAACTCTTATTTTGGATTTCAAGTTTCTTTTGGCGGTTTGATTTTTGGATCATTAATTCTTGGATTTTTTATTCTCTACAATTGATAATCTTGACTAATTTCAGGATACCACCCCTCCAAAACCCAATAAACCAAGAACACTATTTGGCGCCAATGGTAATATTGATGATATCTTCCAACACTCAGATCACGAACCTTCTGACAATGATGATGATGATGAAGAAAGAGATCACTATATGTCAGATATTTCTTCAAATTGATATGTCAACTAAACTTGACTAGATGTTGGTGACTCTCTGCTCTCGTGTGCCAGATGTGTTGATTTATAATGATATGTCAACAGAATTTGGTTTGGTGTTATTCTGCTCTCATGATATCCACATATATCTTAGAATTGAAATGTCAACCAAAGTTAGTGTCATTCTGCTTCAGTTTGATATGTCAATTGAACTTGAGTAGTTGAAGTTGGTGTCATTCTACTCTCGTTATATGCTAGGTCTATCTTTTAATTGATATGTCAAGTAAAATTGGCTTTAATGTTTGTGAATCTCTGCTTTCATATACAGAATGTGTCTTTAAATTGATATGCCAACCAAACTAGTTTATAAGTGATGTATGTCATCTATTACTTTATGTCAAAGTTGATGCCTGTTTTCTTTAACATGCTAGATATAAACTCAAAATGACATGTCAAGTAAATTTGATATCGGTGTTCACACTATGTCAGATAAAACTGGAATTGATATGTCATTGGACTTGGTTTTAGACTCATTGCCCTCACTATGTACTTAGTGTTAAATTGATATGTCAGGTAAACCTCCTGCTCTCACTATGTCAGATGTGTCAACTTAACTGTCTCATCAGATTTGAGTTTGATATGTCAAGTGTCATATAAGCTAATGGGAAGCTTGCATATATGTTGTATTATATTGTAAGAACAATGATTTTATTGTGTATAGCTAAGTTTATATACAATGTTTGTGATTATTATTTATGATTAATAAGTAGGTATATACCAATTAGATAATCTCTTTGTAATATTTCACCAAAATATCTTATAGAATAAGATTAAGATGAAATAAAGCTTATACAAAAAGCTAGCTTAACAATTAACTCGAAGGCTTGTGGCCTTTTACTTTTGACAGAAAAGCATATTTTACTGAAATTTGTTATGTGTATTGGAATATCAGCTTCAAAATAGGTATGATTGTCTTTAAAGGGACAGATGCGCAATTTTTTGTGACCAATCATACTTTAGTCTAAGAAACAGGAATTTTTTAGCTGAGCCAATCAGTAATAGTGTTCCCAGCTCAACAAAGAAATTTTAGCCTTTAAATCCATGTGTGTCCAGAATTATCTGCGTTTGAATGAGAAAATGACGACTCGCCATTTATGATACTTTGTGATAAAAAGAAAAGACATATATAGTAATAAATGCAAGGCAGCAAACTACACAACAACATGAATTGTTGTAAAAAATCATGTCTCATGTAACATTTTATCATTCTGTCATAAGAGAAAGTAACCCTTGAGTTGTAATCTTCAATTCTATTTCATTGAAATTTCAAAAAAAAGGTAAACTCCCTTTTTAAAGAGGATATTCCAATTCTCACAGAAATATTCAGTGATATTTGATTTACTCTCAAAATTGGTAGGATGTGATTAGATGATGTATGATATCTGGTGCGGTGTATGGTAGGGGATAATCAGTACACTAACCGTAGCAGTAGAAATTAGAAGAAGCAAATACATGATGTACATGTCCGAATACTATTCGCTTCCACTATTTTCTTTGTATTGAAAATCTTGCACCTTGCTCTGTACCCTGCACCAGACAGTGTATCTCAACTATTCTATGCTTAAAAAGACAGTTAAGAAATTTTTTTATTTCCATTTATGGACTTTGGTTGATGTATATGTTTAAAAGTTTAATTATGAAATGAAATTAGAGATGTTGTCAAAAAGATGATTTAATATTTAACATATTTGTTAATGTATTCGCTTGCAATAATTGTTTGTAATCAAATGTTGATTATATAATTAGAGGCATTTATTGTTGTTGTTATCTCTCAAATTGAATGGAAGATTTTTTTACAAAAGGATAGGAAAGGGTAAACTCTCTCTATAAAATTGGCTACCAATTTCCCAGGTTTCAATCACAAAAAAAAATGTGTGGTGGCCCATGAACTAAGTGCTCTCTGCATTCTGAGACTCCTCTGTAAGTCAGTTTAATGCCTGTTAATGTAAGATTAAAAAATTTTGAGTCTGTGATATATAATATTGTCCTTTGGCTGCAGCATAAGTTGTGAAACGGTTCTATATTGTGTGTAGTAGAGTACTTAAACTTATACTACTGACAGGCATTGTATACAGCTCTATAGACAAAAATATGCCTTATTACTTATCCTTTATTCAAAAGTCAGGAGGTCAAGGAATCGGACATATTAGAAAAGAAGAACAAAGACAGAGGCTACTTGTTTGCAGAGAGCCGTTTCTACCTTTTGAAATCCAATAAAAGTGACCTATTAAATAATATACTTTGCAAATTTTTTCAAAACCATATACATATCCAAATTCTAAGCATTGAATATCACAGTTCTAAAGCATTGAATATCACTGTTCTAGAGCATTGAATATCACAGTTCTAAACCATTGAATATATCACAGTTCTAAAGCATTGAATATCACTGTTCTAGAGCATTGAATATCACAGTTCTAAACCATTGAATATATCACAGTTCTAAAGCATTGAATATCACAGTTCTAAAGTATTGAATATCACAATTCTAAGGCATTGAATAATACAGTTCTAAAGCATTGAATATCACAGTTCTAGAGCATTGAATATCACAGTTCTAAAGCATTGAATATCACAGTTCTAGAGCATTGAATATCACAGTTCTAAAGGATTGAATAATACAGTTCTGAAGCATTGAATATCACAGTTCTAAAGCATTGAATAATACAGTTCTAGAGCATTGAATATATCACAGTTCTAAAACATTGAATATCGCAGTTCTAAAGCATTGAATAATACAGTTCTGAAGTATTGAATATCACAGTTCTAAAGCATTGAATAATACAGTTCTGAAGTATTGAATATCACAGTTCTAAAGCATTGAATACCACAGTTCTAAAGTATTGAATAATACAGTTCTGAAGCATTGAATATCACAGTTTTAAAGCATTGTATATCACAGTTTTAAAGCATTGAATATATCACAGTTCTAAAGTATTGAATATCACAGTTCTAAAGCATTGAATATATTATAAAATATTTTTAGAAATCTTTGGAGAAGATATAGATCAAAGTTCATTATGTTATATCTAATACACCATAATTCTGTTTTAGAAATTTCTGCAGTCAGTCTGTGATTATTTTTTCCAAAACATTAACGAACTGCTTATAATTGATTTTATTCAAATCGTCTGCATTAAGATGTTTGAAAGTATTTTCAATTTCTGTCTCCGTAATTTCAGATTTCTCTCGAGCAATATTCTCGATCACTTTGTGGCTCAAGAAGCCTGCACCACCGGAATCACAACCTGTCAGCTCCCGATTTAGTTTGGCAACCCTAGAAAAATAGTAGGAGAATCAAGGTCAACATATTTTGAGTTATCCAGCATACCTTTGAATTCGGTCAACGGCAAAAATCCCTATGATCTTAAATTGCATTTAAATCAGATAAAGATGTAGATAAATCCGATTAAAATAATGAAATGAAAGGAGTTTTACGTCATTCTTTTCTGCACTATGTGGGCTAATGAAGACAGGAAACGCCATGCAGAGTGCAATGAGGGAAATTTTGCGAGGACAGTGGCTTTAGCCTGCTCTCTTTCGATTTCCAACTGGGATCTTTAACGTGCACATACCACGGGACCTCGGTTTATTGTCCCATCCGAGTATATAGCCCAATCAGTGCCGAAAATGGGTAAGCCTTCGTGCATTTTTTATTTTACAGATCTTGATTCAAAAATCAAATGCTTACCGTCTTTTACCAGGTCTTAAAGAGTGCATGCCAGTAATAAATTCATCTAGTGTTATCTTCCAATCACAATTTAAATCCATCTCGATAAATGTTTCCTATAAAAAGAAATGCAATATAATGAATGGAGTTTTACGTCCTACTTGCCTATAAAAAGATAAAACAAATATTTGTGTGATAAAACCATCGTCGTATGTCAGTCGTATAAAACAGTATATTTTCTCAATTGGTAATCAAGTGGCGGTGCCAGTCTCCCTAGATTAGGGCTACAAATAAGAGGGCAGACTGACTCTACGGGGGGGACACCAACAGTACTGTCGAGACTGATTTCAAAATGCGACATGTCTGTGGAGGCTTCATAGTCGACTGGCGTCTGATAGGGTTCAAAAATTTTCGAAAAATTGAATTGATTTAGTGTTTTCACTCCCTGGGGGTGTGGGACTAGGGTATCACAAGGGTGATCACATCAGTCTTTTATTTGAGATTGGAGTGGGTTGAGGTCAGGACCTTGCCAGCCTCAGCGCCCAGGGGCCTAAACTTAGCTCTCGATTGGCACACATCTTCTTACATTTCAGAGCACACATCCGTACATGATGGTTTGGTTATCATGAAACCTACCGCCCATTCTTTTTGGGCAAGATTTATGCCACACCGTTTGATCACTGACGTCAGTTCATCTAAACTTAAATAGCCATCTTTGTTTTTATCAGCCGCCTGCAAATTGAATCACAGATTAAAGCTATAGGGAATGTCCGAGCCTAATATTAGCCTTAAAGTACGAAAGGTTTAGTACACTCTTTTGTTCTCCATTAAAATTGAAGATAACAAGCATCATATATCAAAGTGGTGGAGCGGACCCATTTGGTACTTGTGTTTGGAAATACTACTTAAAGGGACAGATTTGCCATTTATTTTCTGGGGTTGATTTGGGTCATGAATATATGTAAATAGTCTTCAGATGTACTAGAGATGTACGAAAATCGCATAATTACTTCAAAAATACCTCAAACTGGGAATCTTACTTTCTATATAATAATGTCTTTGCTATCTATGGTAGAGTCTCAAGAAAAGACGAGTCGTCTTTATAACTTTCAAACGCGTATAATTCTGGACATACGTGGATTTGAAGGTTCAAATTCCGACGGTGAACTATGAACACTATTACTGATGAAATCCTGAATAGCGTCACCGAGTAAAACTTGAAGAGAAATTTAATGTCTCCAGATCTATACTTAGTGAAGTAACCCTTAAAATAAAAGAAACTATCTAGAAATTGCATCTACATTAGATTGGAAAATCATAGAATTTTTCAAACTTTAGTCAACTGATACCATAGTCTTTCAGATCTAAACGCAAAAATTTACATTACCTCAAAAAAGGCAGAATAAATAGCTCTTTCCAAATCGGACAGTATGTTTTCTGCCATTTTACGTAGTACTAATCTGCGCAGAACTCGTTGATTATATAAACATAGGTCTCCTAGTTTTATTGTTTACGAATATTAAAGCAGAAAAGTAAATAAATATGAGAAGAGATAATGAAATTAATATCTCATGTCGATTGTCGGGACCTTTAAGTGTTTTGCCCCGTAAGTATTTCAAGGCAATGTTTAATCTACTTTAATCTACTTACAGCTCCAGATTAAGGATTTACGGATAACGACTTATTGAGCTTACATGGATTCAGATAGTGATAGATTTTCACACAGAAATAACGAACCAGCTCAGATTTGGGATTCAATAATCTCCATGAAATATTAAAGGAATACTACTTCTTAGGGATCTTCCTCTTATGCTGTAATAGCCACGTTTCTTGTTTTTTGAATATAGCGGTTTGATTGGCTGCAAAATTACATTTTGGGGGTCGAGGAATCCAATGGTTTGTGTTTGTTGTTTGTGACAGAAACTGCCACCATCTTGAATTTCAAAATAACGACCATCAAAAATCCATAATGGTCGATATTTCTAGATTTATATCATCTATAAACCCGTTCTTGGTTGCTCTAATTGTATATTTTAGTTGCCAAGGAACGCAATGATTTATATTTCAAGTACCAACAACCGCCGCCATGTTGAATTTCAAAATGGCGACTATCAAAAATCTAAGAGTGTCTGGGTCTAAGTCAGCTGTAATAAACCTGTTTTGTACATTTTGGAGGTTGGTTGGTTGGTAGATGACAAGTTAACGTTCGCTTCAAGCGGATGCTGATATCGCAAACTAGGTAGTTGTTGGTAGTCGTAGTAGTTGGGCACATTTTGAAGAAAGGGATGCATGGCATCTGTTGTATGAACCATGACCCAATGTCGGCATCCTAATGTGTGCATGGAGCTAATGTCTTCAAGAGTTAAGTGGCTACCAAAGATTTGGCTGGTGTATCAAAGCATAGTACCAGCTGTCCAGACAAGAAGCTCTTCTTTATTTTCACCACCACAAAGAAAGTTCTACCAGTTTCCTGGTAGCACAGCAGTGAAATATATTCAGATTCTTTCCCCCCGTTGATGTAGCGATCCTACACTAGTTCAAAACGAGATCAATGCTATCCTTCTTGGGTAAGTGCTGGAGGGTAGCCTGGGTGTTTGAAGCACTGATCCAGATCATTAAACTTTGTTTTGCTTGATTTGTTTGTTCGTGGCGATGTACTATGGTCGTCTCCTGCGCAGATTGAACAATAAATGAGCAAAGCACGATGTCACAGGTGAAAGCACGCACGCTTTAATGTAAAGAAATAACAACAAAATATTAGGGGAAGCACATACTACGGAAGGACAATATGGACTGCTATTTAGCCGCAGATATCTTTGTATTAAATATGTCTTATTACTTATCCTTTATTAAAGTCAGGAAGTCAATGAATCCGACATGTCCACGTACGTGAATCATTCAAGATGGAAAAGGAAAACAAAGACAGATTCCACTTAAGTTTGCAGAGAGTAGTTTCTATCTAATGAAATCCAATAAAGATAGCTTGCCAGGCAAGGTAATATACGCCCGCTGTCAGCTCAGAATTTATATAAATATATTTGGCAGTACAGTAACAATTACCAGTATGAAATATTCAACCTTCAGGCATACGGTTCTTTGGAACTTTTTGAGGTGATACTGAATAATATTACCAAGTTTCATCAAAATCTGTCAAGAATTGGGCCTTCTAGAGTGTTTACAGGCTAAAACTTGAACGCGTTTTTAAGAACAAGGGCAATAACTCATACTCATAACTCATAACTCATTTCAATTTTTCTGATTTTCAACAGGGTTCATCCTTGGGTGATTTCGAAGAACTATACCAAGTTCCGTCTAAATCCGCCAATAATTGTGCCTTGTACTAGTAGAGTGTTTACGAGCAATTGTGGTCGGACGGACACGGATGACGGCTATACACGCACCCCATTTCATTTGGGCGTATAAAAATGACCTGAATAGTATACTTTGCATATTGAAAATCACAGTTCTACAGAATTGAATATCACAGTTCTAAAGCATTGAATATCGCAGTTCTAAAGCATTGAATACCACAATTCTAAAGCATTGAATATCACAGTTCTAAAGCATATCACAGTTCTTAAACATTAATATCACAGTTCTTAAGCATTGAATACCACAGTTCTAAAGCATTGAATATCACAGTTCTAAGGCATTGACTATCACAGTTCTAAACCATTGAATATCACAGTTCTAAACCATTGAACATCACAGTTCTAAAGCATTGAATAACACAGTTCTAAAGCATTGAATATCACAGTTCTTAAACATTGAAGAACACAGTTCTAAAGCATTGAATATCACAGTTCTAAGGCATTGACTATCACAGTTCTTAAACATTGAAGAACACAGTTCTAAAGCATTGAATATCACAGTTCTAAAGCATTGAATATCACAGTTCTAAAGCATTGAATAACACAGTTCTAAAGCATTGAATAACACAGTTCTAAAGCATTGAATAACACACTTCTAATGCATTGAATATCAGCTACTGAATATATCTTTAAATGATTGAATATATGTCACAATAATTCATAAATATCTAATACCACATTATGCTGTTATTCTGCAGTCAGTCTGTGATTTTCTTTTCCAAAACATTAATGAACTGCTTATAATTGATTTTATTCAAATCGGACGCATCTAAATCTTTGAAAGTGTTTTCTATTTCTTTTTCAGTAATATCAGATTTGTCTCGAGCAATATTGCTGATCATTCTGTAGCTCAGGAAACCCATACCACCCTTATCACATTCTGTCAACTCACGGTTTAGTTTGGCAACTCTGGAAAATAAATAATCAAAATCGACAAGACTGATAAGTCAAAAGATATCTCGCAATGACAGGTGAAATGTGTACTCTTTATAAGTTCAGAAATACTAGTGCGGTATACCATCTTTAATTTTAATTTGGTCAAGGGAATTACAATTCCTTAGATTTTGGAATTGCTTTAATCAGATAAAGCTGCATCTAAATCAGATGGACTTAGAGTGCAGCCAAATTGCTGAAGCTGTATTTTAATCTGATGAAACATTATCTGATCCTACTAGATGTACTAAAATCAATTGAAGCTGTATTCTAATCAATTGAAGCTGCATACTAATCAATTGAAGCTGCACCCTAATCAATTGAAGTTACGTCCTTATCAATTGAAGCTTCATCCTAGTCAATTGAAGATGCATCTTAATCAATTGAAGCAGCATATTAATCAATTGAAGCTGCACTCTAATCAATTGAAGCTACGTCCTAATCAATTGAAGCTGCATCCTAATCAATTGAAGCTGCATCCTAATCCATTGAAGATGCATCCTAATCAATTGAACAATTGAAGCTGCATATTAATCATTTGAAGCTGCACCCTATTCAATTGAAGATACGCCCTAATCAATTGAAGCTGCATCCTAATAAATTGAAGTTGCATCCTAATCCATTGAAGATGCATCCTAATCGATTGAAGTTGCATATTAATCAATTGAAGCTGCACTCTAATCAATTGAAGCTACGTCCTCATCAATTGAAGCTACGTCCTAATCAATTGAAGCTGCACTCTAATCAATTGAAGCTACGTCCTCATCAATTGAAGCTACATCCTAATCAATTGAAGCTACATCCTAATCAATTGAAGCTGCATATTACTCAATTGAAGCTGCACTCCAATCAATTGAAGCTGTATCCTAATCAATTGAAGCTGCATATTACTCAATTGAAGCTGCACTCCAATCAATTGAAGCTGTATCCTAATCAATTGAAGCTGCATATTACTCAATTGAAGCTGCATCCTAATCAAATGAAGCTGCATCCTAATCAACTGAAGCTGCACCATAATCAAATGAAGCTACGTCCTAAACAATTGAAGCTGCATCCTCATCAATTGAAGCTGCATCCTAATCAATTGAAGCTGCATCATAATCAATTGAAGCTGCATCCTAATCAATTGAAGCTGCATCATAATCAATTGAAGCTGCACCATAATCAAATGAAGCTGCATCTTAATCAGATGATGATGCATTCTAATCAGAGCAGTATATAAAATCAGAGGATGCTGTGTCTTGAAGTTGCATCCAAATCAGATGCAGTTAGAAGTTGGATCTGAACGAGATCAAGATCGGCTGAAATTATATTCCTCTTAATTAGACGGAAATTATTTAGGCTACTTTTCATTCAGAACATCAGATCGCTTTTACTGTTGCAACAGGTTGCAATGTCATTTAATTCGAGACCAAAATATACTATTAACTTCTTTTATAAATCTTGATTTGCGTTCACCTGATTTTGGCTGATACAAAAAATCAAATGCTTACCGTCTTTTACCAGGTCTTAAAGAATGCATGCCAGTAATAAATTCATCTAGTGTTATCTTCCAATCACAATTTAAATCCATCTCGATAAATGTTTCCTATAAGAACAAACCAATTGATGTTAAAGTCCATTCGAGCAACCGAACATCGTAGCACCCTAGCCGCCTAATAGACAAGATCATCGTCGTGTCGTGTAGCCTTCATGTTACCATAAAAGGTAAAATTAAGTTATATTTTCGGAAGTATTATAATGAAGAGACGATGAGTTAATTTGAGATCGTAATTAAGTCATAATTAGTCATGAAACGACTTTTAGGGGTAGATATCACATTAAAGAACCTAACAAAATATTTATGGCGCTGTATTTGGTTCAAAATAGGATCCAGATCTGATTGTATAAATTCTTAAAATCGCGTGGTCATGACTAATGAAATGACTAATCTTATAAGATTGAAGTATTTTTACGTGTTTTATCTCCTATCTTATTTACTTTTTTCAATTTGAGTCTTCTAGAACCTAATTCTCCACTGGATCGTATACACGGAGTTATCTTTTCTTGGGGTAATTTATTTCTCATTAAAAACACGAATAATAATGATATGCATAAAATGTCATGTGACCTAATTTAATTTCCTTAACATTCAAGGTTACGATTCAGCAAATACGATCCAGTGGAGAAGTTGTAAAGATCACGATTCAGCGAAAACGATTCAGTGAAGAAAGTCGAAAGATTACGATTCAGCGAAAAATGATATATGTATTATCGAAGTGGGATGGGAAGCAAAGGTCTTAATTCATACCTCATTTCATTAGTATATATTAAAATTATGACTGGATATCTGTGCCTTTAATTAGACGCATAACTAAGAAGGTTTATACGAGTTAATGTGTTCGAAGATCATAGAGTTTGAATCCATGTAAATCCTTCCGCATTAATTAAAACTTCATCGTTTCATTCCTTCAATTTTGCATGCATGTGGACATAAGAATAAGTTCTACTTGTCCAACTCCAGTAGGGACACAGGCTGAAATTCTGAGTAACAATAGCATGTTGCTTAAGGTTTTTCTATATTGCTCTACAATTGATGTATTGAGCACTATTTTAACAGTGACAATATTTTATTGCATTTTACAAATATATTTATTAATATTGAAAAACTGAAAGGCCCCAAATTCAACTTTCGACTAGCACACATAATTTTATAGTTAAATGCCCATCCTTCAATGAATGGAGTAGTCTACTTATATCACGTGATGACGTTCGTGTGACAAAGCACGTACATCAACACTGCTCGAGATGTCTTGTTATGATGAAACCAAAAATGTGATATAGTAGAGAGATACATGGCGTGATTGAACTACAGTAGCTGGCATTGAATAGAAACGTTGTGGTATACAGCTCCCATTTCAACTGGAAATTTTTATTATATTTTGGGTTAGGTCACTCATCTTTAACATACTTTGATTATCTTGAAACCTACCGCAAGTTCTTTTTGGGTTAGAGTCATGCCACACATTTTGACGACGGACGCCAATTCATCTATACTTAAATGGCCATCTTTGTTTTTATCAGCCGCCTGCAAAATGAATCGCTGATTTAAGCTATAAGGAATGGTATTCTGTTACTACATTCCAAGAGTCCAACAGTGCACAATTCTATAAGTTTGCCTGAATGATTATGCCAATAGCATCATCGAATAAAACTTGAATCAAAGAGAATGTTCTCAGAGGTAGAACGAGTGAAGTAAGCTATAGAATTAAACTATACAGAACAGCGTCTAACATTGTAAATTTCAAATTTTGATACTGACGTCTTAAAAATCTAACTGAAAGTATTAACATTACCTCAAAAAAGGAAGAATAAATAGCTCTTTCCAAACCAGACAGAACAATTTTTGCCATTTTACGCAGAAAAAAGAAAGAAACAACTATGTTTTAGAAGGATAACAACTTTGGTTCACAGTATTGTTAATATGCGCACAACTGACTGATTATTTAGACAAAGATTAATTCAACTTCCTAGTTTTACTGTTAAATATTAAAAGTAAATAAATATGAGAAGAGATAAGAAAATGTATACCTCATGTAGAGAATTTAAGGGTTTTGCCCCGTGCATATTTCATTTAAAGTGACAGCTGCAACATTCCAGGATTGATTTGGACCTTGAATATTATGTCTTCAGAACTACTAAAACTGTATGAAAATCGCACAATTCCTTCAAATAAAATTTTTATTTACTTCGTTCACAAGCTTATCTTCTCTCTGAAATTTCGTCACAGCCGTGCATAGACGACGTTTACAGGATGATTGCGTTTACTGTATACACATGACGTCATCAACGAATATTCAAAATAAAAAGTCTCTTAAAATGACGACTCGTTAAAGTAACTCACAAACATAGATAATTGTAGATACACTTGGATTTGAAGGCTCAAATTTCGACGGTAGCTGTAAATATTATTACTGATTAGTTTAGCGGAACAATTCACTTTTCTGAGACCAAGGTATGATTAACTCCCGGAAATGCCTTAAAGTCCCTTTAAAGTTGCAGTGTACAATATATACGATAAATATAATCTAGAACATTTATATATTCATATATATATCAGTTTGAGATTCAATAATTCCAACAAAATATATATAAAAAAGAATCGAGTTGTAAAAGCGGACATTAGTATTAGATTTACATGGATTCAATCGCGCCTTTCCTTATGTTACATGACTTTTTCGATTTTGGCAAGTGGCAAGACTTTCAATATTCTTACATTACATTACTCTGAGCATAGATTGTAGAAAGATGTTTCAGGGTAGCTTATCCAAAACATATTACATCTTATCTGATATTCTCAGTTCCAACTCCTTTGCCATTAACAGCTAAGTTAAGGAATTCGAAAGGACACGCTGATGTTGATGGTTTAAATATTAAGTAAATGTTACAGAGACTAATATGAAGGTGATGCTTGAATTTCTGTGAATATATAACAATATCGACTTAAAACATATTTGACATTGCAGGATCCTGAAACCAATTGCATTAAACGCCTGAAGCTGTCGGTGCGTCTACTAGATTAAACGACGAAATTTATAAAAACCATAATCTGGTGTGGCGAATGTAAATTTCCACACGAAGTCTTATTAAATAACAACTGCCAATAGCCACGTGCAAGATCAATAGTACACAATATTAAAACACCGGAAGAGATTATCCAATGTTTTATCCGCTCTTGGAAGCGAATGGGTATCTCTAAGAGGTACTTCATTACAATTTCGAAAGTCTATGAAAATTTGAAATATTGGATCTGACTTTCGGGCAAGAACGATTGGAAATTGCCACGGACTGTCTGACTTTTCTATGATATCTTTCTGTTCGCACAACAGTACCCCTAGGCATTTTATAGCTAATATTATAGCTATTATTTCAGCTGTACACCAGCCGACAACTGTCTGAATAGGCCTATCTATCACAGGTCGGAATAGAGGCGGGTATTTCGGTCCAGAGTTCCCTAATGTAGGCTTTCAAAAAGATTTGTTGTCTGTCGTCACTTATTTTAAATGCTATTTCAGCTAATTCTTTACGTAATTGCTCAACTTCTTATTTAAACATAGTAAATATCATATATCAACAATAATGAGGAATATTTGAAATACAAGTTGACAACTTACAATAGGTTAATACAATATTATATACTGTTAAACAACAATATCTTATCTAAATAATAACTACCTTCAACCTAATAACTTAACAGCAATATATGATATACATTGAATTCATTAAACAATGTTTCCAATAACATCTTTAGCATATCAATTTACAGGTCGCTTAACCTGTTTAGATTGTGTTAGATAAAGAAAAAGGTACAGTCTTTTGACTGTTATAATGCCTTTTAAAATAATGCGTACTACAATGAATTATAAATATATAACATTTTTAATATGGCATTTTCAAGTACAATCGAATTTGTGAAAGGATCTTTCTATGTTGACATAATTTATGTAGTTGCCCATATGTACGTTCTCATTCAAAATAAAACATGAAAGCGCTTTATAAAAATAATTTTGATTCAATTCATCTACAATTTATTGATTTGTTACAGGTACTGTTACTGGTTGACTGTAACATGTTATTAAAATTAAATAAAACGGAACACAATTTTATGATATACTACTCCTTAGCTTTATTGAACACAATGTTTCAACAATTTACATTGTCAGCACAAGGCGAATTAAGGTGGTATGAGTAGTATACCATCAAATTGTGTCCCCTTTTTCAATGCAAGTGATCTCTACCCCTAAAGGATGCTGTTGCATCTTTGGTAGAATCTGCTGTGGTCTAGTCCGGAGCATCCACCTCTCGAAAACTGCCAAAATATCTTTCAGAGGCTGACTTAGAGGTAGATGTTTCGCTCATGTCAGCCAAGGTTACAAACCATGAAACGTCTTAGTCAAATATGGAAATAATAACGGTATATCCAGTCCTGGATATTATGTATACCCGGATGTATTGCAAATAAATAAAACTTACCGCTATTTCCCCTTGCGTTAAATTCAGGCCGCACATTTTTGTTACGCTCGCCAACTCCTCTATCGATAAATAACCCCTTTTGTTTTTATCAGCCGCCTAGAATAGAATAGAATAAGATTGATCAAGTAGATACATAGACAGTCAAAGCATATTATATTAGAAATCTTTTCAAGATAATTTTTAATAATGCAAATTTTTATATTGCACCTTTAACCTTAAACCCCCTGTTTTATTCAGGAGTGTTTACTTTGTGACTCAAGAGAGATTCATAAATCCAGGGTCGGAGCTAATTAGTTACATTTAAATGCAGGAGGCAGTAATTCAGAGGGGTGGGAAGGAGGGGGGCTACCCGTTTGGATTTTAGACGGTGCTAGTGTGTCATATTTGTATCTTGTATCATGATGTATGCTGCCCAAAAAGGGCGAACAATACAATAAATATCTAGATCTAACATCTAGTCGCGGTGGAGTGTCTGGGGGCCTGCCCATGGGAAATATATCGAATCTAGCCAGGCGGAGAATGCGTCTAACGCAATTTTGGTAGTAAAGTAAAAAAAATGTTTTCAATTTCCCCCTAACTACGCGAATGCACTCTTTTTCATACACCTATACACTGTCCCGTTCTTAAAAAATTACATTCAAATTTTGGCCCATCAATGTATTATAGGCCCCATTGTTTCAATTTAAAAGTAAATGTTTATATTACCTGAAAAAATGCTGTGTATATGGCTTGCTCCAAATTGGATAGTACCGAATGCGCCATTTTAATACGCATTAACAACACTCAAGACTGAATAACCAATAAACCAAACTTCCTGGTCTACAAAACGGTAGTTGATTGCTGAAGGGGCATTACCCTAAAAACCTAGAGGCGCTTTAAAATCTATTTTTATATTATACAATTGTGTAGGGTTATCAAAAGAAATTATTCATTTACAGTACAAGAGAAAAGGGATCGCGTATTCATTCTATATTCAACTACATGTACTTGATTGGTTAATATTGAGTTGAGATTTCCGGCGAAGTAACATATCCGGAAGGGAAATGGAAGAGTGTTGTTTGGTCGCAGTGATGATATGAGTCGCCCACCGCAATCTTTCGGAACGCTGGTGCGGTAGGCCATCCATTTTTTACCCAGTTGCTACGGGTCTGTTGAAGAACAGAACACTCTTTTGGTGTGTCGCGCAAGTTTGTTAGTGCAATTGGGTATTGTACGCTATCGAATACAGCCAATCATCGTATCACGATAACGGGTTTTCACATTGAGGAAGTATGGTGAATGGGGGTTTGACACGATGGCAGCCAATCAGAGGCCTAGGTAGATATTCTGTAGACCAAAAGCCGTGATGGTTACAGTCTTTAAAAGGCTTTATGCTGTGGCGGCGCCAGTGGGCGTACATGGCCTCCAAAGAGTTGCGCATATTCAATTCAGCCTCGACAGTTGACTCAGTCTGTCCCCTATTTGTACCACCAGTCTCAGGAGGCTGGCGCCGCCACTGGTAAAATAATTATACATACTTTGACTTGACAGATTACATTATGCAAGTAAGATAAATATGACATTATACCCCACGCACACATTTAAATGTCGTCAATTAAATAGACTTTATATGTCTATTGTATTTGGGAAATCAAACCCTTTTGGTCTGTTCCACAACTGGAATATCATAATTATAGCGAATCATAATGATGCGAATACAAGACAACTCGGACCTCGTCTGCTCGCACAGTAACGTTTCGAACAACCTATCGCTTGATGCAATAGAACTTTTCGGACTACATCATAATTTATTGTATTGAGTAAAACGAATGCATTCGGTAAAGATGTCAGCTAAGGTGAGACTAAAGGTTTTCCACTTTGTTAGTGGAATTGGTTACACGACATTTCTCTATGCATTGTTCATACAAGTAAGAGAAAGATACACTGATATAGATTGCAATTGAGATAGTGAAATGCGTTGTTATAACTTTGATTTTGTTCTAATATCGTTCCACGTTCAATTGTATTTGCCATTCGGTACACGGAGCAAATTTTGATATGTTCTGTATTGACAATCCGAAATGTCTGAAGGAACGATATACTTACAGCATTTATACTGGTATAGTTTTATTTGATAGCCTTTTTTCAAATTAATGATACATAAACAAGGTGAATTGGTTCTGACATGATTTTACTGTCTTAACAACTAGATATGCAGAATTACAATATACTGGTAACCTATATAATGCCTACTTTTTTCTTGGTATTGAAATATCAACTTCCAAATAGTATGCCCTACTGTGAGTCTTAGATTTTGGGACAAAAGTTTGTATATAATGGAATTATTATTGCAGCTTTGTAAATCTGAAATGTTACTTTTGTTTCAGCCAATACTTTATTCATATTTTAGAAGTTCTTGCTCTTGGAGGGTTAGAATAGGTAAGAATGTCTGATTTTATCCCTTTACAGCCTACAATTAGCTTTTTGACATATTTTATGTTGGGTTACAATGTGGGTGCTGACCACCTTATGTACTTTTCCAGTGTGCATGACAATGATTTGAGGACCCTTTAAAAAGAGGGAGATCTGGATAGAATTTTTTATTCAAGTTTGTTATAAAGATGGTTATTAATTTTTATTTCAGCTCTGAATATAAAAGGTATAGAATATGAGTATAAGGCTGTACATTTATTAAATAATGGAGGAGAGCAGGTAAATAATTATACAATAACCTGAAAGGAACAGGTGTGCTATTTTAGGGGGTTGATTTTAGTCTTGAATATACAGGTACATAAATAGTCTTCAGAAGTACTAGAAATGTAGGAAAATTCCTTTAAAATACTTCAAACTAGGAATTTTACTCACTATTTCTGTATATTCTGTCTTTTCTATATATAACAGAGTATCTTAAATTGACGAATCGTCATTTTACCATTCATACGCAGATGATTCTGGACACACATGGATTTAAAAGCTCAAATTTCGACAATGAGCTGTGGTTACTGATTAGCTCAGCTAAAAATTCCAGTTTCTGAGACTAAAATATGATTGGTCAAAAAAAATGGCCTACCTGTCCCTCTAACCTGTTAATCTAGTTGTTTATGGATTACCTTCTGTCTTCATTATATTCATACTTTTGTCCTTAAATCAAATTTTACCAATTGTTTTTAATGTGAAATGGTATATCAGCTTGAAAAGAGTACTGATTGTTTTAAATTGGCTTTCAATGGATAAGCATAATTATGTTATTAAAGATAAATTTTAATGGAAAAAATCCTATTATCCAGAAATTTCAACTAAAAATGTTCCAAATTTTGATTTTTATTCTGAAAAATTGATATAGATCAGTGAAATTGAGTTCCATCAGCTGTTGAAAGAAATTTTTGACAATAAGTACCAATAAAGCAAAATTTGTGTAACAAATCATTAAAATTACGTACTATTACAACATAATTCCATTACTATGAGTTAGAATCATATGTTGATTCCTGTTTCAGAGATCTGAAGATTATAGTAGTAAAAATCCAATGCAACAAGTTCCTAGTTTAGAAACAAGCAATGGTGATGTTTTAACACAATCTGTAAGTAAGGAAATTTTCATTTTGTCTCTTTACTACCTTTATCCTTATTTTTCTCAAAATGACGTTTTCATAAATCGACTCAAATCTGGATATTAAATTGACTATATCTTCTGAACGGAGAAAGCTATTGAGATGGAATTGGTATCAAAATGTAGCTGATGATGCCAGGAATCCAAATATATTAATACACCAAATGTTACTTAATACCTGGTTTGATGTGCGGGGTCACATATGTAGGCACATTAGAGAAAAAATCAATTTGAATCATGGACAGTCTTGTATATTTTGAGGTGATATACATTATATAGAATGCAATGTGTACCTAACTGGTATGGTTACCTCCCAAGAATATAATACTCTTGTTTTTTGATGATAATAATGTGAATATTAAGAGAGTGCTGATTAATTATTACAGTTACCAATAATGGAATATCTAGAAGAACAGTATCCAAGTCCTTCTTTATTACCTAAAGATAGTATTCAAAGAGCTCAGGTAAGCTAGTTGATAAAAAAAATTGACATTTTGAAAAAAACCTAGCCCAACCAATCCTAGTTGGATATCATAGACTTTGTAAGTAAGTAAGTAAGCCTACCCCTCAAGTATATTTTGGCACCGTGTGAGGCACATTGACATTAAATATCTAGAAATGTCTTGATGGACTCTTTTAAAAAGTGACATTTTATGATTCCATTGATATACCACATCCGAGAGCCATCCAGTTATTCTGTCAATTTCTTAATAAAACAGCTCTAGGTGGATCTAATGAGATGCTTTGAATTGCCAGTTTACCTGAGGAAAAATTTGAGTATTAAGTATTATTTTTTACTACTATATTTACTACCATATATTACTGTTATATTTTTATTCAGATCAGAGCATTAGCAGAAATGATAAATTCTGGTATTCAACCTCTACAGAATTTAACAGTTCTACAATATCTTAAAGAAGATCAGAAAGCAGAATGGTCTAAACATTGGATTCATAACGGATTTGTTGGTATGTAAAACAAGGGCCTTTCAATATCCCTTTTGTTGTCAGTTTTCTTTTCGAGGGCTCTGTGTTAACTCTCTGATTTTTCTTAAATAGTCCCAATTTGCTTGTGAAAGAGTTTGATTTGATCATATTTTTATGAAAATTATCAAATTGTGAAAAGTCATTTGTGGAGAAAGCAACAGAACTTTATAGATTACTTGACTGTCTTGGTTTATCTCCCTTGAAGTTGCTTCTCCAAACAGGAGTAATAAAATGGAATTTTGCATGCAACTATTCTGCACTTTCAATCAGCAATACTCTGTACATTAAGGGATATTTTGCTAGGAGAATAGTAGTAACTCTTGTTATTCTTATTTGATATTTTTAAAAATTATTTTTTTCAGTGGTTGAAATTGTTTGTAGCATGTATGTACTTTATTACTACTATATGTAATATATTTGCAGCTTTAGAAAAAACTTTAGAGAAAACATCAGGAAAATATTGTTTTGGTGATAATATTACATTAGTTGATTGCTGTTTACCTCCCCAAGTCTTTAATGCTAACAGGTAAGTATATTTTACTTGATTTATGAAGGGGCCTGAGTTAGACTAAATACAACCCTTTACCCAACAGGCCCATAATAATTGTCTTTTAGGAAGTATAACTGCTTTGTGTTACCTTTGTTTCTCTTCAAATTTAGCAGTTTGAAGTGGCGTAAAATATGAAATTTATTCCCTATAATTGACCAGTTGTCCCATGTGAAAAATTCGGCTGAATGACATTGAGATTAATCAAATTATTGATAGGGTGAATCAAGAGTGAACTCATTAAATCATGAACTCATCAAAAGCCATGCAGTGTGCAATGAGAGAATAAGAGCTCTCTACTCTTTATTGAATTTTATTCATATAGGTATCTACAACCTTCATGGGTCACAAATTCTTTCAAATTTTACAATTTTTGGTAAAAGAATATTTTTATATACAATTTCTTTTCACAATAGGAAAAACAAATAACTCAAGAAGTTATGAAGAAAGTTTGTTGTTCATGCAATTTACTTAGTTAACCTTTTATGAATTATTCTTATTATTATAATTGAAATTTTCAGGTTTAAGGTAGATATGGCAGAATTTCCAGTCATTTCCAGAATAAATGAAGATTTGGGTAAAATAGAGGCATTTAAACTGGCTCAACCCTCACAGCAACCTGATTGTCCTAGTGATCTGAAATAGATCAAACTGAGGGTCGTGAAATGCCTTTAACCCTTTCAGCGCTAGCTTTGCTTTTATGAAGCTTAAAATCAAGGGTATGTGCCATTCATGTTTCTATATTCCTTGTTCAAAGGGTTAATTGAGAAAATATATTAGGTGGTGAAGGGAATCTTGTTTGTTATGTTAAAGGTGTCATAGGAGGACCAAAAAATTGAAATTTTTAAACTCAACCAAGTTTATGAGTCTTTGTTCATCAATGGATTTACCTGGTGTCATAAGTATATTACAGATTCCCTCTATAATTATATCCATAAACTAAGTAATAATTCATTCAAATAAGTAATTTGGAAATATGCTTAAAAGCATTATAGATATATCGTCTTATATAGAGATTCTATTTATTAGTCATGGCATGTGGTAAGTCTAACAGATGAATATATACCCTTGTTGACCAAGTTTGAGACTTTATGTCCATTCTAAGAGGTAGTATTCCTTAAAAAAAATAGGTGGATGAAATTGTCATTCACTAAATCCTGGTGCTTTGACCATTAAAAAGACTCTTCATGTAGATAGAAAAAGAATGTAATGATTAAGTCCTTCTGATCAGTTACCATTACTGTATTTGTTTCGAAGGTAATAGTAATTGAAACCTTAAAAATAATATCAGTAATCATATTTTCCATTAGGGAATGTTTCGAGACTGTTTTCTGAGTTTGGTGTTAAAACACAGCATCCATCTGAACTTTCTGATATTATATAGAAACAGATAGAAGAATCACGTTGAAATGTTGCATAAAATCTGTTTCTATAGATATCTACAATCACTTAAAGCCATTATAGTCTTAAGTTTATAAATCAGATGAGCAGACTGGTGTTGATCCTGATATCAGAGATTATAACAAATACTCATATTCAAAGTCATGTTAACTATGTTATATATATAATTTTTTATATGATTTCTTATATCTTTCTTATAAAGAAAATTGCCATATATATACAAATTGTATCAGTATTATCTTCAATTATGTTATAGAATTATATATAATTATGTTATATAAATATATAATTATGTTATTTTTTAATGGAAGGATTCTTTGGACAATGCTGAATTGCTGTATACATATAAGATTATGTGGATAACACCAAATAGATAACAAGCAAATATTAATAAATTAAATTGTTACATGTATTCACCATATGACGAATAAGGGTTTTGACATGGTCTTATTAACCCCGAGATGATGAATGCAGGCGTGGTTTGGACACGATGACTTGTATTATGCTTTTACTCAGACTTCGCCATGATTGATGCTGTCGTTTTGCAATATTCTATGATATTTAAGTGCCTTAGCATGTGTGTTAAAGTATTATATTTTTGTGTTATATTTACAAGCCAAAATGGCAGCTATAATTATATAACTTACATAACAGTATTAAAATATATATTACTCCATGGATTGTATTTATTTTGAATATTGTCTATCTCAGGGAAATGTAGATGTAAATCTCATTTTGATCAGGTGAGTATTGTAGTTATGACGAATCTGAAGAAATTTTCAGCATTACAAGTTCTAGGTCACCGAAATATTCAACAAATGAAATGCTTTGTTCTTCAATGAGGTGATCAAGGGCCAGTAGCCTTTTTCTACAGTATAATTTTAGTATGGGCCGATGAGCTTCATTTCGTATACCGCTAAAATCTTGCGACTGGTTTTCTGCAATTATTCAAAAATGTACCGTGTCATTACTAGATCCTTGTGAGTTTAAAGCCAACAACTTAGTGTTATCGATGGTGCTCGAAGCTTAAATGTAGCTCTGTCAATTATGAAAGAGATGATTAGAGGAGATAAAAGCCTTAAAGGGACAGATTCGCCATCCGTTTCTAGGAAACATTAGGTGAGAGGGCCACGAGCTATTCTTTCACAATATAAATTGATAAAAATTTTGAAAGTGGGTGTGGGGGTGAAAACCTGGGCCTTGACCCGACTTCCACCTTTGACCCTCCACCCAGTAAAAACGACACTGCTTTTGACCAGTCGTACCTTAGTCTCAGATTTTTTTAGCTAAGCTAATCAGTTATAGTGTCCACAGCTCATCGAAATTTGAGCTCTTAGAAATAGAAAGTACATGTTTAGTACTTCTGAAGACTCCTTACATACAAGACCAAAATCACCTCCCCACCCCCCAAACGTGGATATTAGTGGATAGGTAAGCATTATCCTTGCTGTCATAGAATAACAGTCAAATATTATTCATGTGATAGACACCTAACCTCATGAGAAATCAACACAAATAAAGTTCCATTCCTCTTAGAATCCTGCTAATAAACATAGGATCGCCTCTTCAGAGAATTGTCTATTATTACTCCACTGACTAAGTATGATTTTAATATTAATATATTCACAATATTGTTTTATGAGGTGACAGTCCCACTTTTTACCTTATTCTTTTAATCAATGGTTCTTGGTTGTAATGTTAGCTTATTAAATATCGACATAGCTTTATTCAAAACATCGACATAGCTTTTATCAAAAATAGACAATCAATAATGGACATAGCTTTAATAAATAATGGACATAGTTATAATCAATAATGGACATAGTTATAATCAATAATGGACATAGTTTTAACCGAAATACTGGCAAAGCTAAGTTAAAAAAAATTGACATGGTTAAAAACAATTGACATAATTTCATTAAAAAATTGACATAGCTTTAATCACAAATAGACATAGCTTTAATCAAAAGAGATATAGCTTTAATCAAAACGACGAGATAGCTTTAATCAATAATCGACATAGCTTTAATCAAAACATCGACATAGCTTTATATGATACAAGAAAGGAAAATATCGACATAACATTTACACTGAAATGTTAGCTGCTTGAAATATTCGACCTAGCTTTTAGACCGTATAAATCAATTAATTTGCGATATAGCTTTCTTGCAGTCATATTACTTTAATCAAATGTCGAAGTAACTTACAAACTGTATATTCAATCAAGTAAATGTTGATATAGCTTTCTGTAATATTATTTAATCGAGTGTTGAGTCAATAGTGAAATCATATATCTATATAGCTTTTACATGTTATATTAAAACAATCAAATGTCAACTTAGCTTTAGCCATGTAGTTGATCCAATTTCGACATAGATTTCTGGCAGCACAGCTTAATGTAGAATGTAGACATAGCTTTTATAATGATATTCCTGTTGAATTAAATAATATTATATATTTCACACTGTAATTGATCAAGTTTCGACATAGCTTACTGGCATTTTTATTCTAATGTCGACAAAGCTTTTGGCTGCATTATTGCACCAATCAAATGTCAGTATATCTTTCATGCCATGCAAAATCAATTTCGACACTGATATCAGTAAGTTCTTCCAATCTAATTAAAGGTCGACATAGCTCGTAGACTTTTCTATTTAAACCAATTATTTTATCACATTGAAATTCATTGTCGACATAGCTTTCTGACAGTAATATTTGTTCAATATATCGTCGACATAGCTTGTAGACAATTGTTCAATCAAATTTTCAATGTCGACATAATATTATAACTCATCAAATGTCGACTTAGCTTTTAACGTAACCTATTTAAGCGTAATTGATTTCCGAAACACATGTTCAAGATATCAAATATAAAAACGTACGTGGTTTCGCTCTTTTAATCATAAGTGTTGATATACAAGACTTGCTTTCAATGAAACATTGTAAAGAAAAGGCGAAAAATCAATTTCTTTAGCGGAATTCAAGACCGAGAGAATGTTTTGTTATTTCTTATTAGTTTCCGCGAGAAATTTATGTCTTTCTACTTGAAATAGTCAAGTGGACATTAAATGAAAATAAAAGAACATATTTTCATCTGAACAACGTCGATATGCCCGTTGTCGGCTTTTCTTTGATGTATAGTGGATACCATTTGAATAACAACTGATCAATGTTCAAGAAATAGTTCAATGATAAGTGGGAAAGGTAAGACAAAAACAACATTTTCTTGTTTACAGATCTTTTTTAATGTTTATTTTTCATTTCGATTAATATAGAAGTAGGCTAATGGGCAGTCCGGAAGTTTTCCTTAATGCAGCGAAATGATTGGATTGTATTCGAGCCTTTGACAAAAATTCTGTAAAAGCTATGACATACAGTAAACGAGGGTTCTGATTCGTTGTATTCGCTATTGTGTACAATCCAATCAAATCGCTGCATTTCGTGATACAAAAAAGTGACTACTGATGTCAAGGTCCCAGACGCGATTCGATAGTGACTTCCGGGCCGTTATTACATTTATCCCATGCAACATAGACCTATATGTTAGTATAAGTTCTATGCATGCAGGCATTGTCGATGGTGACATCATCAGCGACATGTTATTAAAGTCTAAACTCTCACGATGCGTATTGTGTAATTGTAGAGGGAGTCGGATTTAATTTGGAAAAGTGATACATGAATAGTTGAAATGTAGCTCTATGAATTTACACATTATTTCGACAACTATATATCCCTATAATGGGCATGACTGGCACAATCGTGTACTTTACAACTAAAAAAAAGAGATGTTCAAGAAAGATTGCTAAAGAAATATTTTCTAAAACCAATTATTGGGATTGGCTTCATTTAAAAATATGTATCAATAAGATTGTGTGTCTTCAATAATAAATCCTATGTAATGATACATAAGAATGATATTAAACTATTAAATTCAATAATCATATTTTTAATCAATATTATTAATCTTATCAACAGGAAACATATTGACCAAAATTACTCTTAATCCGAAATAGTTGTACTAGCTTCTGACGAGATAAAGCATATCTGTGGCTTAGTTATAATATCCATAGGTATATTTCAGTCAGTTATCATAATATGTGTATTTGTTAGGTCGCAGCACATAGTAGTACCAGCGCTTCAATAAATAATACTTTTTTCGTTGCCAGCACAAACGTCATTTCCGGTTTAGGGTCTTTAAAATGGCTTATTTTATTGTTATTGCTTGATTTTTCGAACTCGGTGATGATATGTTATAAATCGTTTTGTACTATAGGATAGAGTAAAAGAGAATGTCTTTTCTATCCCGTTCATTTCAAATCTAACGTAGTTTTTCTTAAACGTCTGTTCAAGGTTGTTTGCTTGAATTTTGACTTGATGACGTAATGATAATATTGATAATCATAATCATAGACATTCTCTCATTATACACAGTGGCAGGGACTGCAAGGAACGACAACTCTGTATGAGAGATTGAACCCCATTGCTCTCTATAAAACTGAATATGGAATACCAAACCATTGAACATTCATACATAGAGCAAGGGGAACCAAGCCATTACGGACACAAGACACGAGAAAGTTGTAATTGTAGTCAAGGTATAAGACTAAATGATGACTGATTGCACTGCTGTGGCCCAACAAAACTCAATAAAAGAAGTATATGATAACTGACTGAAAGAACCCTTATCAATGTCAACGGTACCATGACAATTAATTGAGTTCATCATCGGATCTGGTGCATAATTTAGATTAGATTGAACAAATACTTTTTGGTCTACTGAACAACGCGCAAATTGAATGAAGGGGCAGATCTATGACTTCCAAAATTTTACTTGAACAGGTAATTTCTGAATAGGTGACTACTGAACAGGAATTCGCTAAACAGTTGATTGCTGAAAATGAACAGATAAATGATGAACCAGAACAAGTAATTGATGAACCCGAACATGTGACTGTTGAACAGGTAATTATTTCCTTCCGTTTTTACTAGCCAACCCGAACGTCATTTCCGGTTTAGGTTTTTTAAAGTGGTTTATGATATTGCTATTTGTCTCGATTTTTCGATATGTTTACATGATGAACATGAATATGTGACTGTTGAACAGATAATTGATGAACCAGAACAGGTAACTGATGAACCTGAATATTTAACTGTTAAACACGTAATTAATGAACCACGCCAGGTAATTGATGATCCTGAACATTTGACTGTTGAACACGTAATTGGTGAACCAGACCAGGTAATTAATGAACCAGAACATGTGACTGTTAAACAGGTAATTGATTAACCAAACCGGGCAATTAATGAACCTGAGCGCGTGACTGTTGAATAGGTAATTGATGAACCAGACCAGATAACTGATGAATCAGGACAGGTAATTGATGAACCTGGCTAAAGTGGTTTGTGGTACAATATGGCGAATGGACATGCTTGTTACACGGCATAAGATGTAGTTTATTGAATTTATTCTGGTTTATGGTATTGCGTATTGAATATATTGCGTGCTGGTTTATAATACAATTATGTTTATTGAAATTATTGCAACGAGGTTGGTACAATACTAATTTTTAGGGAATCATACGACGTGTCTTATAGCGCAACATTGTGAAACTCTTATAGATTTGGGCCATATCCTTCTTCTGAGGGAAGAGTTTTCAACCTATACTTGCTCATATTTTATCTATATAATTTGATCGCCAATATCATTTGCAATTATTTTGAAGAAGAATTGACAAATGTATTGTATATTAATTAATTGTGGCGTGACAAACTTTTAATTGAAGTGATTGGAATCTCCTGAAAATGTCTTGATTAGAAGTAGAATCTCTCTATTTCAAGGAATTGAATGGCTTCTCCATTAACTTGACTCAGTAATTAAGTCGAATTAACTCAGGTATTAAGATGACTTGACTCACTCTTGTCCTTCTTTTCTCGCTACCTTCAGTAAGCTTACACGTCGGAAAGTTAAACAATATGTCTGCCTTTTTCTGTGTGAATGTCCAACTATCATGCAAATGAAATAGTCTTTTTTCGTCTCAGAATTGGCGTACTAATGAGAATTGAATAAAGTATAAATTAATATTTATATTGCTCATAATAAATAATATATATATAAAGAAATAATGAGAAAATAATGATTATAACAAATACAATTCTCTTTATGATATCGTATTGTGTATTATGATTAGTTGTGGTTTATTATGGAGCCATGTTTTGGTAATAATCACCTTTTCCTTCGTGATGGTGCTTAAATTACGAGGAAGGGTAGCCAAACCCTACAATATGAGTTAAATGAAAGGTTTGGGAGTGAGTACATTTATGGAATTGGTGACGTCACTAAACCGGAAATAACATTACGCTTTAACATTAAATTTTATCAACCCTAAAAAGGGTTTAGTAGTCTTAGATTTCTGATCTCAGACCTTCATGTTGAATAACTGTAGCTTTTACATCTGAGGCCAAAGTATTATTCTTGTTAGTCTGAAAATTTGAAAAAAGGATACGTGAAGTTTAGACTTTCAATCCCTCGTTTGTCCCCTTTTGATTTCCTTGTACTATCCCCTCGTTCACTAGAAAAATCTTACACCAAAGGTAACAGAGATAGTAAAGAGATTTTCTTTACAGTGTTTGATGACGTCTCTAATTGCAAATATCCTTATGTGATAAAGCATTGTTTTGCGAATAGTGGCGTCATCAAACACATGGTTTTAGTGGAATTGCAGGAATCACTGATGTCTGATGAAAATGGGAAAGGTGCATATTGATGCTATAAGATAACGTCTTTCAACCCCTTTAAAATAAGAATACTGGAATCAATATGTGCCGTCTATCAGTGCGTATTTGGATAAACTTTATTCAAACAATGCGATTGACACATGAATTTTGTTCACTACAGACTAGAATAGAATAAAGAATGAGAATATTATTTATTAACTTTAAAAGAATAAAAGATAAATTTGTTACAATATTTACTGTACTGATTTTAAACAATATTCAAAAATTGATTTTTGCAACTTTTCATTGAATTTCCTTGTGTACTTATTAGAATTTTTTGCTTCAAAATCTTGTTAAAGCAGAACATTCTCATTATGCACGTATATTCTGCAAATATTACAGATTTTTACATATCCTAAATTCTTAAACTTTAAATTTGTAATAGTAACGCCAGGCTTCTCAATTTCAAGAACCAGGGACGTCGAACGAGAAATCGGAATGGCTGCCTATAGAAATGAAATGAATGGAGTTTTATGTCCTACTTTTCTGTACTATGTGGTCTAATGAACACGGACAACGCCAGACAGTGTGCAAAGAGGGAAGTTTTGCCAGGACAGCAGAATTTGCCCGCCCTTTTTCGATTTTCGATATAGGGGGATCTATAACGTGCACTGCCTGTAGCACACGGGGCCTTGTTGTATTGTCTCATCCGACTAGATACTTTTTCGCGCCAGCCCCTCTTACCCGCATCACTGACAGGGGGAAACCGGGTTTAAAATCCGAAGGTATTATCTCGACCTATGCCGGGGTTGAACCCTGAACCTTCAGGTTAGAGAGCAAGCGCCTAACTCACTGATCCAAGTTAGAGAGCAAGCGTCTAACTCACTGAGCCACCGCGGCCCCCATGGTCAATAGAGGCATGCACATAAATATGCTAAATACCTCTTTTGTATTCCTTTAAAGTGTTACTAGCTTCAAGTAATCAAATAAAAGGTATAACTAAGAGTTGCCAATGGGAAGAATATTTCTGTTTAAAATTCTCAGACTGATATATGACTTCTAAAATAACTTTCTACTTATATTAATTAGAAACTAAAGACTATCAAAAATAGAAGATGATTCAAAACTACAAAAGATACAAACTAATCGCACTCTAACAAACTCAAGTATGAAGCAGATGTTTTTGGATGTTCTAAATTTATATGCGAATTTGTGGAAAATTGTCTTAAAAAAAATACACAGTTACAAGTCTGTGTATGAAGTCCATTTGTTTATAGTGTTTTTTTTTTAAATTATCAATTTCTGGTATCTCATTTTGACCATTATAGTAGTGGCAGGTGTCGCGCGAAGCAGACCATACTTATTCTTTTCGAAACACCTGATGATACTTCTCTTTGGAGGAGTACTACTATACAATTTTTACTGCCGATTTTGAAATTAAAAATTTGTTAATTGATGCACAGTTGTTTCCCATCGGAATATCATCGGCTAAATGAAAAGATTTTCTTCAAGAGTTGGCAGATTAATATGCAATAAAACTGCCAAGTTCTTTCATTCTTTCAACGTTATTATAGACTTAGGCTGATATGATTAATGTGCAGCGTAATAATCATTTTTATTGTGAGTTAAGTGATTGTTTCGTGTTATATTCAATGGAATTTCAAGCGTGAAAATATCAAGGAGTGTCTTTCGATCTGTGTGGTTCTTACGCTCAGTGAAACATCAAATAATAGTGTTTATTTTTTAATCAAAAGCTGTTACCTTTTCATTCAGAAGTACTCTTATGTGTTTAAAGGGTAGTCCCATATTGACATGCTGTAGTATTGGTTGTTTGAAAATCAGAAGTTGATGTTTTGAAAAATCAATTAGGGCTAGCCCAGGAAAGGGTTAAAGCTTGTTCCAAGATATGGTTTCCGCATATGAAATGAAAGAGCACTTCGTTGCGCATCTTCTCAACACAAAATGGTCCGGATAAAAGAATAACACAGTGGTTTAAATGGACCCGAAACAATTTATACCCCAGTGGCCCCAAAGGAATTAAAGTGGAAACTTTTCTTATGTGGTACACATCCTTTCACAAGTTTTGTGAGTGGTTTACATTTCTGATCTGGGACGGTTCCTTTAAATCCAAGTTGAAGGTCAAGGTTGTTATAATTTGGTATTGACCACAGGGTGTGTTTTCATTAAGTAGCAGGTGGAACCTCTTGTTACAAATATTGTATAAAATCTACATTAATCAAAAATATTCTTAAACAATTCGATATGTACCTACTGTATAAGGTTACGTAGCTCATACTTGACCTCCCTATTGTAGGCATTTATAGCTTCGAGTGAAGAAGTTTATTAAGATTTCCTTAAAGGGATTGTAAAGAGGTTTTTTTTTTAAATTGTGTATCGGGGGCACTGATAGCATCAATTTACACCATTCCAATTTTCGATCAGACGTCTGTAGTTCCTGCAATTCCCTTACAACTAAGTGCTTGACGACGTCACTAATCGCGAAGGGCGAAGGGAAGTTATCTAAGCATATTTCGCGATTAGTGACGTCGCCATCTTTAGTTTAGTGGAATTGCAGGAACAACTTAACAAGTAATCTACAAACTTTTTGAGCAAAAAAAAAAAATAAAATAAAATAAACAAGAACAACAGATGTAAACAAACAGGAAGGATGGGTAGGTTCTGGGACGCAATGAATACTTTTTCTGGAATTAAGATTTTTGTAAGAATCGAAATGGCAACGCAAAACCAAATATTTTAATGTGTAGCTAACAAATAGTAAATAAAAGTTTGTTGTCGTACATTTTGTCGTAAAATGAAAGTCTCCTAGGTCCCACTATTTACGCTAAACTAATCAAACAGTTTATATTCTATAGTCTATATCAATAATTCATTCTTTTCACTACTTTTATATTATGACTGGATGATGTTTTCTGTAAATAAAGAAGCCAATGGTTTTATCATAAATATTTGACTATGTCGATCCTTCAATTAGAGGTCCGAGACTAATGTCAATATAAATCCGTTAGTTTGTACTAATTGCCCACGAGAAATGACAGGTGCTTGTCAAGTTCGAAATTTAACAGTCTATCGTTATATTGTTATTTTGGGTTTTTCAGCCCGGCTTCCCCCTGTCAGTGATGCAGATCGGAAGTACTGACATGGACAAAGGTGTAGTCGTTAGGGTCAGACAATAAACCGAGTCCCAGTATGCTTCAGGCGATGCATGTTACAGAACACTCGATAGTTGTAATCGTAGGCTAATCCCACTACCCGGCAAAGCTTCTCTCATTGCACCCTGCATGGCGTTGCCTCTCTTCATTAGCCCATGAGGTGAACTAAACGTAAAACTCCATTCGTTCATTTTTATTTCATTATCAAGATTGTTGAGGGTTTCCCCTGACGCTACGGGCCTAACCCTTTCATTATTCGAAACCATATATATGCAACTACATGTATATAGTAATCGCTTTGATGTGACGACACCTTGATCAAGCCTCTTATCTAGATCGTGAACTACCAACTGTAAGACTGAATCCTTGAATTGTTAACCTAGTAGAGAATTGATGTTTCTGTATCTGTTTTAAGAATTGTGGGAAATAAACATCTTAAAATAACCTGCAGTTGAATATGGCCGTTTGTCAGATCTATTTGTTTACTGTGTTCTATCAGTTATCAACCGGATTTTCAATATTATTGTAAACAATCTATTGCAGATTTTGAAATCAATGATTGTTGGAATGATGCATGTTTCGTTTGAATAGCTATGATGTGCTTTGATTTACGTTAAACCCTCAAGGGTATTTGAACAATTCTAATCGAATGCAACTTCACAAGAAACAAATTTACACTTTGTAAATGATGTATAACAAGATAAAAGAAATTGACTTTTGCGTGGAACAACATTAAAGGAATGTGGAACATAAGCATAGGTTATTCCGAAGAGGTGGAGAGCTAAATTAACTGCCTACTACCAACTTGATGGTCGTAGAATCGAATCGCTATCGCTATGCCGACGAACAATTGATAAGATTCTTCTACATGCAGTCAAGGGCAATAACTAAAAAACCGTTCTTCGAAAAAATTGTCAAATTCGAATCTGACCAAGATCTTATTATTATAAATGGTAACATCGAATTTCATTTAAATTGGATGAAAACTGTAGTCTCTATTTTGTACGGAGGGACCGGCGAACGGACAGAGGCGACGACAATATACGACCACATTTTAATGAGGGTGTATAAAAATTTAGAAAACCTTTTACAATCTCTTTAAGTTTATCAATATGATTTCTTTTGAATTATTAAAATCTTTGTGGTCGACTTTAAAGACATGGATATAGTTCTTTTCAGAAAAGAATTTTGGATAGGAGAAACCTATCATTTAAACACATGGAAGCCTCGCCATTAGTCTTTAGTCAGACAAACGGTATTCTTCTCATGTCTTTCACATCTTGGCAGGAAGACACGTTGGTTCTTTTTTGCGTTGTGAAATAATACATTTGTATAGTTGGCTTTCTCTTTATATAGGATAGGTGTTA